GCGGACTATCGCAATCTCCTTTTCATTTCCTTTGGTTTCTTCGCGCTTCGGGTTGCGATGTCTATCTTTGCCTAGACTTGGTACTGTAGATGGAAATTGTTCCCTCTGCTATAGTATAGCCCCCATTTAGCTACAAGCTAAACTAAACTAAAATACTGGTCACCCAAATTCCACCTTACCCCCTCTCTCAATCCCCTCCAGCCCCCGAGCTCTTGCGCTGTCATCTTTCCATCCGTTGCTTGTTCAAAAGTGCTACTACAGCTACCGGTATTATTGACATACTTGTCACTGATGTGGACTGTGCCTCCTACTGGAACAAAGATCGGCTCAAAGAAATGAGCTAATCAAGACGCCATAAAATTCCCAAGTATAAAGCTCCGTATGAATCCAACCTGGCCTCCTTCCATCTATTTGTTGTTTCTGTGGATGGCATGCTTGCCACCCAAGCCAAGCTTCTTTTACAACACCTTGCTTCTGTCATTGCCAACAGGTCCACATTTTATTGCCCCTGACCCCATGGAAGCTAGTCCTGAATTCGACTCTCCTTTGTTGAAGCCTGGCCAGCGCTGGCTTCCGTACATATGTCTCCTACTCTAACCCCTGTTTGTTGGTTCTGCTTAACAACTTACTTGCTGTTGCGGTCTAAATTTGCCAGGAAAGATGTATTTGGGAGCCGTCACAGGCAGCAGACTGGGACCGAAACATCAGGTTCATTCTCAAAATGTGATGGGCAAAAGCCATTCTCCGATGAATGCGCGCTGTGGCAAGTTTTCACCTAGGAAAACACAAACTATTGGTCTATTCAATCTTTCTGGAAGATGACAGCGGTGCGAAGAAACAACACACCAAATTCGTCTCTTTCATCGAAGCAATGCTAGAAAAAGTTTACAGGAAATTTCTATAGACCAATCGGCTTGACAAGTCTAATGGATTTTCTGGGCATCATGATAGTTTTGTTTACTAATTCCTTTTATGTACAAGTTTACTGTTTTTGTTTCTTCGTTTGGTGGGTGGGCGTAGTGATTTCACGTGTATTGCCATTGCCCCTGACAACCATCCCTGACAACCGGTTTTTAGAACATCCCTGCCTTGTTGACGGCGTCTGTTGCCATCCTGGCCGCTTCGGCTTGCAACGCTTGTTCCTGCTGAATGTGCTGAAGGGTATCCACCACCAATCCATGGTTGGTGTCAAAGAAGTACCCATATCCCGCCATGTTCAAGAACAATCCCATTGTCAATGCGACGCCCAACACGGGAAAGATAGCATTGGTCACATCAAAGATACCCCACACAAATGCTCGCACTCCATCCAATCCATCGTTCTTGACCGTCTGCCCATATTTCTGAATGATTCCAGATTCTTTGCGTTCCTTGGTCTCGAGTAGCATTCGCTCCGTATCTCCAAGCATCGGTTCATCACTCATGGATAAGGAAGAAGAGATGAGGCGGTTCTGTCGAGGAGCCACCACAAAAGCTTGCGAGGCAGCGACAAAGAAAGCAACAAGGATTACAAGAGACTTCATCATTGTGGTTGTCAAAGAAATAGAAATGAATTGCTCAGAGAAGAAGTTTCTTTTGGATATTATGAATGTTGTGGACCCAAAGAATGATTTTAGGCGATCTTTGTGTCTTTGAGGGAAGAAAAACCATGTGTTATTTTCTCAGATGAAATGAACCGCCATTGACACGGCTTTGTCAAGGTGTCAGCCACCAGGAGAGTGCCGGTTGAAGCGAGCAAAATTCCGTCTCAGCCAAAAGGATACCAAATTCAGAATTCTGAGAGAAAAGGGTGCAATGCAGTAGCTTCATTAAGTATAATGTTTGTAGAGCCTGCACCCAAGGGATGATGACGGCATTTGAAGATCGACGAGCAGGAGGGGAAATTCTCCTTCAAAGAAGAGTGGGACAACAGACAGGCGAAGAAACAACCAAACAACACTGTGGTGCAGAAGACACCACCCACCAGCATGTCCATCTGTGTCTTTCGTGCAGCTGCTCCCGTCATCGGTTAACGCAGCCATCTACTAGCTAGTAGCTCTAGCCAGACCCTAAGCTGCCCCAGCTCTACGGACTGTACCTGGTACCGGTAGCCAGCTAGCTCCGCTCCCTGCTGCACTCGCGCAGCCAGCTTCTTTTTGCGAGAAGCAAGAATTGGAGATCAAGTCCAAGAAGCAAGGTAATCTGCTACTTGACTACAAGCCAGAGTTGGCTGGTGGATTCGAAATGAAATTCATGTTGCAATTATAGCATCTAGCAAGAAGACAGCTTTAACACACAAAGCAAGCAAAGCACGCACTGATGGAATCCCCTACAGTTTCTATGGTTAGCTTGGGAGTTGACTAGCTAGTTGCTGGGCATGAGATGGTTGGTCAGCCAGTTTTGAACTCTGTTGCTGGCAGCCGAAGAGACCACCCCGCCAGAACACTGCTCAACGTGAAGACAGCTGAGCAGCAATATGACAGAAGGACTACGACAACCAGCCACAGCAAGCATGCATTCCAGCCAGGCCCAACATCACAGAGATACAGCCTGAGACCCTGTGACAGTGCGGTGCAACCATGCCACCTCACTCCATGGCACAGGGTATTGTCAAAGATTGTCATGACAATCGCAGCAGTCCTGTCAGAGGGACCTGGAGGCTGTAAGAAGAAGCTTGAGGATGGTCTCCATCCAGGTACAACACCAGCCCCAGTCCAGCATTGAAAGCATCTTCAACAAAGACATCTCAAAGCATTGGAAATGACTTCCAATGCAAAGAATGGTCAGTTGCCGTTGATTCCAATGCGGTTGTCCAGAGCAGAAGGCTTGCAAACAGCTCCTAAGATGGCTCAAAGCGTTGGCAATGGAGTTCCTATGCAGACCAGTCATCTCTGGCACGTTCCCCATTTTGAATGGGCTTGCTGGGTAGAAACGCCCATCCAGCATGCAATCAACTTCCTCAGCAACAGCTCCGGAATCTTTGTGCCATGACGGCTCAAAGCATTGGAAATGACTTCCAATACAAAGAATGGTCAGCTGCCATTGATTCCAGGGCTGTGGTCAGGAGAAGGCTTGCAAGTGCCTGTAGCTAGGCTCGTCTAAGAGGGCTCATAACCTTGAATCGAGAGAACTTTCCAATGTACAGAGCAATCACGTAGCTTCAATCCAACAAGCCAATTCTTCTTGTTCTAATGGCCGTGCCAAGGACAATTCCGGGAGGAGAGGTCCATCAAGAGATCAGTAGGCACAATGATCAAAAGACAGGCACCTTCCCGTCGTTGTGCATGTCAGAGGCCTGAATGGGAGCTGCGAGATGCGTTTGCCACAGAAGCCATGCGGACCGTCAAGAGATCATTATGCACAATGATCCAGATCCAAAGACAGATACATTGCCCTCTGTGGCAGAAGCACAAAACAAGGGGCCCGTGGATGAAAATAATAAAGGAGTTATGGCTCAAAACATTGGATGGAGCTCCATTCCAATGCAGAGAACAATCACACCACCAGGTACCTTCAATCCAACAAGCCAAGTCTTCTTGTTCTCATGGTCATGCCATACAGAAACAACTAAAGAAGGGGCCCATCAATAGATCAGTATGCGCAATGATCCAAAGACAGAGGCCTTCCAAGCTGTTCAGCATGGCAGAAGCATGAAAAGGAGCTGGGAGATACTCATGACATCAACTTCATCTCTGAGACAGATCTGGAATCGACCAGTAGTGTGACATCTCAAAGCATTGGAAATGACTTCCAATACAAAGAATGGTCAGCTGCCAGTGATTCCAGGGCTGTTGTCAGGAGTAGGCTTCCAAGCAGTTTGGCTGAGCCGGTGATGGCTCAAAGTGTTGGCAATAGAGTGCCAATGCAGACCAGTCATATCCGGCAACAGCAGTTAAAGGGGCTACCTCGCTGGATGGAGTTGCCAAGAAGATGATGGCTCAAAACATTGAATGGAGTTCCAATGCAGAGAACAATCACACCGGTAGCTCCAATCCAGCAAGCCAAGCTTTCTCGTTTTCATGATGGTGCCATGCGAAACAATTGAAGAATGGGCCCATCGAGAGATCAGTATGCAAAAATGATCAACAGACAGATACATTCCTGTTGTCCAGCATGGCAGCAGCAGGAAAGGGAGCTACTCATGACAAAAGCCACAAGATATGTCAACCAATGTGCCGCCCTGGGCTTCATCATTGATCGATATGTATCATGATCAAATGAGAGAGACCAAAGGATCCTCATGGTTGACTGCTTTCAAGTTTGGAGCGGGAGGATGATGAAGGATACGCATGGTCGTGGCGTGGCTCCATCATTTGATCAAACAACAGTGACCGTCGACGGCTTTCGAGCCTGTGCGTGAGGATGCCCAAGAGGTCGGCGGCTCTACCGGTACGGCGGCTTTCCAGCTTGTGCTGAGGATGCTCCTGGTCAACATTTTCAGCTTTCGGGCGTGGCTACCGGTAGCGCATGCTGAACGGGAGGATACTCATGGTCGACCTATTCAGTCACGTCGAAAACAATGACAAGGGGTTCCATCGAGTGATCTGAGAACGATCACAAGAGGAAGCCCAGTCAGCTTTCGGCGTGGCTCATGCATGAACGGGAGAATGCTCATGGTCGAGTTTTTGGCCGCAACCAAAATCGAATAGGGTTCCATCGCGTGATCCAAGAAGGATCGCACGAGAGAGCCCTTTCAACTTTCGTTGCGGCCAAATTATGAGAGATTGAAGAAGTGCAAACAATCGAACAAACCAACCCCTCCTGCCCAGCCTATTCCGTTCCTTCGTGGCGTCTGGTACGCATTGTACGTAGGAATTAAGGAGCGTATCTTTTCTGTTGTGGGTCGGCGTCTTTTCCTGCCCGAGAAGCAACGAGTCCTGCATCGCTGCAAAACCCAACTGTGACTGCACGAAGATCCACGAATGCTGAGGACGTTGCTAAAACGAATGCAAAAGCGGCTGTCGCAAATATTACTGGTACAAGCAAAGGTACGGTAAGACTGTAGGGGGGCGCCAGTGTCGTGCCGGTAACCTTGGGATCCTACCGTACCGACGGTATAGCTAGCGCCTCAATAACCAGGTTGGGGTTCTGAAAGGGTACCAGTACCAGTACGGTACCGGTAGGGGATGCTGTCTTGACTAGCTGCAGTACCGATACCGGTACCGTAGAGGTGCCAATTGCAGCCAAGTCAATTCTCTCCGCGTGGAAACAAACCGGATGACAAGTATTGCTGTTTAAATTTATTTGTCGCTTCTAGCTAGTCCGCCTCACATAGGAGGCTGCAGCCTGCTGAATACAACTACGGTACCGGTAGCTGACTGAGAAAGGCTGGCTTGTTCTTCGCCTCGTGCGGTCTATCCGATTTGTTACATGTACCTACTGAGGCACCAATACCGATCGCGGAACAAGGGGCAGGTCATAGCGGCCTGTTCAGTTCACATCATGGTGCCCGGCCGTGGTCATGGGGTCGAGGATCATCGGCCGGTGCATTCTTGCGCAGGGCATTCGAGCAAACTCTCGCCTGGCTACTGTACTTTTAACCTTGTTCGAATGGCGCGCCGATTTTGTGGCACTCAGTCATGGATACTTTTGAGGTCGTGCTTTCCGTTCCGGATCCAAAGCCTCGAACTTCCAACTCGGAATTTCAAGGTTCTTGTCAATCTCATTGTCTTTACATGTACTCGTTAACTCAGTACCGGTACAGTATTCATCAGCATGACGACCCAATCCCCTACCAAACAGGTTTATCGCCTCGAGATTGACACCAGCAACGATGGCATTGTGTTTTTGGCGAGTCCAGATACTACTATTCGGGGTGTGATGACCTCTATCTGCTCCGAGTGGCTTAATCTAGTGCGAAATGGCGACGGTGGCGTCAACGAACAACGAACATCTTTGGAAGCTCTATCGATCGCACACCATTCCATATCCCAATCACGAAGACTACAATGATGACGATGCTTTTGACGAAGCTCGCGACGTGTATTTTGCGGCGGAGGAAGAACGACAAGAAGGAATTCCTCACAACCAACCATTATCTTCCGTTTCAGGTTTTAATGCCCCTGGCAACAAGCTTAATGCCGAGTATGATTTTGGCTCGACGACACGTTTTGACGTTTCATTTGTGGCTCTTGAGGAAGTTCCCTTGACAACGGAAGTCCCATGTCTGGCCGCGGTGCCCATGGATGAGGACTTTATTGCCTACACTCCCCCAGCGGGTACCGGTAGTGTCAACCTCAATGACAAGTTTCCCTTTGCCAACAAGGCCTGCTTTCAAACGATGGGAAAATGGATTTGTCCCTTTCCTACATCTTATTCGAGTGCTGGCTTTGTGGAAGGTGGAATCAAATGTAACTCGGACATTATCTTTATGCCCTTCAAGTTCTCCAGTCTCAACGAGGCTTTGGTTGGCATGGATCTCGCAATGAAGAAGTACCCGCAAAAGGGATATTCTCGCCTTGTTTTTCCAGTTAAATTGCGAAAAAAGGATGAGAAGTTTTTCCAAGATGGGTTCCAGGCATCGAATGAGTACCTCGAGTTTCACAGCAATCCGGAGGCGTATGATATGTCTGCGTTGTCGGAAAACATTCGTGGTATGCAGACAAGGAAGCTTATGTTCGAGTGACGAAAGAATCATTGAAAAACTACGGCGATGCAATTTGCCAAGCCTTCCCTATGTGTGCCAAGGCATACGAGAAAGGACTGTGGGCGAGCTATCGCCGAGGACGGGTAACAGTGAGCAAGCGCAAGAACTCGAACGAACCTCCCAACCAGCGTGGAATCCCCCAGAAAGTACTGACCCAAACCAACGTTACAGTCGATTCTTTGCATGAATTCTTTTGCGTCTGTGAAGGACTCTTTCTTCAAATGGAGGCCACCCGTAACTTTCATTTGGTGAAACGCAAACTTGAGACCGATCCCTCTGTGTTTTCTGCTTCATCCTAAAATACAGATCTTGGCGTCAACCAGTTTGCACCGCCTTTTTGTTGGAAAGCCATTGATTGGTTAGATAGGAAGACAGCAGTAAAGGATCAAAAGCGAAGGCAGCTCTCAGGATGTCGGCGAAGGGCATCTCGTATGACAGGAGTGAAGGATACATCATAGGGACAACTAGTTGAAACTGTTTGTGATTGCAGCTGCTTCGTGCTTCTCGTATTGCCTTTTGAATTTTATCACCAGTTCCATTTTCCCCGAAGGCTGCTACACAGCAAGACTCACTGCAAATGAGGAAACTCAGGCAATACCGTACCGGTACATGTACCGGTACTGGTACAAGCTCCTAGCTAAAAAGACGCTGCATTCCACCATGAGTTCGTGCTCCTGCTGCGCTACCGGCTAGTAGGCTGCGTTCTTGTTGTAGCGGTACATCTAATACTCTTCCCGAGGCCCAGCTAGGCATATTATGCTGATACTGGTCCGGACATTTCGAGCTCTTCAGCCACTGTTCCGTCGACCGCCGTGTCAAATTCGACCTGGTTCTTACTCCTTGTCACCAACATGACCACAACGACGATGAACGCCGCCAGTCCAAGAGTGAGTCCCACGGCCAATCCAACATTTGCGTCGCCTCCATCAGTTCTCTTGTGAGAAGCAGACACCGCGCTGCCGCCGCTGCTGCTACTTGTCGAAGTGGTGGACGAAGAAGAAGATTGACTCGAGCCTGTGGATTGTGTCCCAGTGGGGACATTATATTGACTCGAGCCTGTGGATGCGCTCGTGGGTCCTGTGAAATCACAAGGTGCGGCGCCCTTTAGGTACAAACCGTTGCCAACCGGATCCAACAGCCCTCCGACATCGTGGCAAGATATTTGCAAGCAATCGTATGTTTTCTCCAATGCGTCTTTGATCACTTCATAGCTCACACTGTTTCCGCTCCCCACGGCTAAATCAATGTACACTTGGAGAGCACGAGGAGCACTGCAAGCATGGAGAATCGGCAGCACGGCTGCAGCAAAGGCAGCCGCTTGCCCCTGTGTTGTTTCTTGACGATTGTACTGTACGTCCAAAGCATAGGCTGTTCGCAGCGTCCCTTGAACAAGCGGAATTGCCATGAGTGCTGTGATGCGCTCCTTCTGCAGCTTGGCCCCAGTGCAGTTGCCCTGCAGAAGGTAGTTTTTGCCCTCTTCAAGCAAACTGTATATCTGAAAGTTTGCTCTTGCCATTCCATTGTTGAGACAGGTGCCAAACTTCTTGCACTCCACTTGGGCCAAAGCATAGAGCATGTATCCGTCGACTTTCGCGTTAGCTAATGGTTCGGATCCAGTGTAGTACGCCGCTGCCTGGTCAAATTCATGAGCAGTGTCATTGCTGCAAGAACCTGGCGAACACGTCGTCTCGCAGATGTTGATGCCCCCTTGCATTTTCTTAATGACATGCATCCAGACATTCATGTACACATTTCCATACCGAATGGCCGCTGAGGTTAGGAAAAACGACAAGAGTGTTTAGGTCCGAACTTACAGAATCACTCACTCCCGGCTCAAGGAACTCGAAAGCAAACCCAACTCACCTGCCCTTCCTTCCAATCCCAGCTTGCTGAAGTCTGCATTGCCATTCGCAAACGATGTCGAGTTCCCAGCAAAGGCTGCCGTTACCCACTGGTTCGCGTAATCAAATGAGTTGTAGTATTGATAGAATTTGTTGTATGTTGCAAAGGGACATCCCGTGTCACACGAGTACATTTTCTTCTTTGCTTCAATGCTCCACTTTTGGAAATTTCGGCCATTGTAATTGTCCTCGAGTGGACGATACGAGTACGAATGCGGTGGGCCCCCGCCAATGGATATTGTTCCCGATTCAGCAAAACACCCAGTAGTATTTGGATTGGGGTTTCCTCCTACAAGGCACTGCTGATTGTTCTCAGATGAATACCGTACCAGCAACGGAGTATCTCCCACTTGGGCATCCATCTCGTAGGTAGTTCCTCGGATTTCCACACCGTTTGCGGTTTGGCCAGTGACGTTGGTACCCACGGGGACAATGGCAGTCAAAGCAGGGGAGAGTGTCAAATATGCATAGGGCTTGGAATAGGCTCCCTTTTCAAACACTTTTTGGGCTTGGTCCGTTCCTTCGGAGGTTCCCAATGCCAGTCGACCTTCTATAGTTCTCTGGTCCAAGTCTATGTCAGCCTTTGACAAACCACAAAAGGAGAAGATTAAATACAAAGGAAACAGTAAGATACCGAAGTGAGCCACACAGAATATCTACACCCTTAACAACACGGCATGTGCATTCCAAATTCACGTCGCACCTTATCAACCACATGCGTAACTGGTTGGTAGATTCCCATGATCATTTCTTGTTGGAGGCTTCTTTCATGATGTTCGCCCATTTTTTGACGTAAGGAATAAGAAGAGGCACTTGAGGAAGCCATGGCTGTCTTTGCATCAAGCGCGACAGCCATTATAGCTACCAACAAGAGCTCTTGCAGTCTCTGCATCGTGTTCATCGTTTCAACAGAAGCTTTGATGCACGGGGCTAGTAGCTACAGTACTAGCTAGACTTGGTGGGAGAGAGCGTTGGTGGTGGGAACAGATCCATGCAATATGTACGTGTATCTCTCTTCGCGAAAAGGAATTGAATCGAATCGAAGGGGTCAGATTAGGGGGGACAGATTGCAGTGTGTCAGAGCAGGAGGAAGAAGGATACTACATGTACTTCTAGTAGTATGTGCCACATCAGGTTGCCTACCAGCACCTTGAGGTAATAGGGCTCAAATTGAATCTTTTCTCCCTTTTTCCAAAACACTTTCTTCAAAAGTAACTTACAGGAACAGCCTATTTGAGCTGAGCAATCTGAATCTGAATTTTAAGAGCCTATTTAGGCTCTTAAAACAGGCTCTTAAGATTCAGATTGGAAAAGTCAGATTGAAAATCTAGGTAAATAACACAGGGATCTGAGTTTTCAATTTCCAATCTTAAATCTAAGAGCCTATGATAGGCTCTTTAGGCTCTGAGAATTCAGATTATCAACTTCAACAGGCCCTGTGGAATCCTGCATCTCTCACTTGATTTTACATTTTCTGAACACATTTGAGCTTTTTCCACAATTTGGAGGAGATTACCGCGAGGTGCAGCTAGCTGGGACCTTCCAGCATGCACTCCAGGATACTGGTACATCTTATGATTGCCATGGAACTACTGCAATGGATGTTGTCTCTATCTCCGTACAAACCCCATAGCTTTAGACATGTGCACCCCTAACACCTGAGAAGAAAATTCCAAAGTGACTTGTTGCATAGCATGAACTATCCAGTTTTCTTCACCCAGTTTCTTCATGACTGAGTTCTATTTTTCAGATTTCGATTCATACTTGTAGTTGCTCATCTCATCTAAAAGTAAGGAGGAATCCAACCAAATTATGCCTGTACATGTACACTTCAATGTCTATCCCCTCCTCTGCAATGTAAGGCGTGGCTCAAAACTATACAGGTACCGGTATGCTCTAAAGCTTCTGCAACTCTGAAGAAAAGGCTTGGCTCGGCACCAAAGGAAGGCCCCCCCATAAAGGCAGCTTGATCCCCTATCATCTCCACAAACTAGTTGGGTCTATGTAGCGCTGCCTATTGTACCGTACCGGTACTAGTACTCATTGTTTCAGATGCTATGGAAATTTTGTTCCTGGCTGTTCTTATTCACTGGTGTCTAAAATAATTGGTTACAATTTGCAAATAATATTTCGTTGATATCATTTAATTAGGCACGTTCTAACTGTTAAAGTAAAGTATTTAATAGCAATGATTCTCCAGCATCTCTGAAGTGGCAAGATCACTTGTTGAAGCTCCACTCAAGCACAACCACACACAAGACTTTTCACCCAATTCTGCCAATCTTCCACCCGATCGAGCTCCAACCACAAATTACTTTCTTCTTGTACTGTATCCAACAGCTAAAGATGACAATGATGAAGATGGAGTTCAAGTTTTTGACGTTGTTGATCCTCAACGTTCCCACTCTAGTGTCGGCAGCTAATTCCTGTGCTTGTTTGGCACAAGATCTTAGCTTTACCATCAACTGTGATGACACAGCCACCATGTTGACAGCTCTTAACGATCTCAAGACCAGTGCATGTGCTACCGCCTGCACGTCGGATGAATGTGTTAAGAACTACTACATTATGCAATCCCATCATGATTACTGTCCCGAGGCTGGGATCCCACAAGAAATTGAAGATGGATTTCATGACTTTGATGACTCTTGTACTCCCTGCAAAATCCAACGTAAACCTACCGAGGGTGCTCCTCCTTGTCCCACGCCCAATTGCGAGGATAACTCGGGCAATGACGCCTACACCAAGTTGGTCGACAGTGGATGTGGAACGGACTGTTCTTCCGACATTTGCCGTGATGCCTTTTTCACGGTCCGCGCGGCGCATGATACCTGTCCACATGATACCTTGTCCAGAGCTGCTGAAGAGGGTCTTCACGACCTGGAAATCCCTTGTGCAAATCAGATTTGCAATCCTGGAGAGGAAGATCAAATCACCTGCAAGGAAGAGGACGAGCATGAACTTGAAGATCACGGCGAGGAGGAAACAACATCCGAAGAAACCCCTGCCAGTGGCGCTTTCCGTCCCGTTACTGCTGGAGCTGGCTTGATGGGTTTCATTATGATGTGGGCTTAGTAGGTATCATGCATGTACAGGTAAAGATCGTAACAAACTTCTATGTTACAGTTGGAATGGTTGTCGTTATTAGAATTCCACTTCTTGCTTGTCTGTGTGATGTACAAAGCGTTGCAGCCAATTGCATGTTCTGCACAAGCTGTCTATGGCATCCCAGATCAGCATAGCGGTACCATGCTGGTGGTGCGGGGCATCGAGCTTTTTCGATTGAAGCGGCTACAGGATCTTGGTTGGTTCTGAGTTATTGTAACTGCTCCTCTTCCACAATTGCCGGTAGCACAGCAAATCTCCCAAACAATCTAACTATCACGGAACAGCTGAATCGAATCGAGCTACGTAATAGGCAACTGCAAAGCAGGCAACAGTTCTAACTGACTACGGAACTACCGTCTCCATGTGAATTAGGACACGACAAGGTGGATCAGCATGCAGCAAGGATCCCCTAGTGGTGTTTTTATTGATGAGGATGTGCCCAAGCAGGAACAAGCAGATAATTTCAAAAGTGTGGTGAGTTCCCGTTGGATCTCCCCAGCCACTTTCCAAGGATGCAGAATCAGCTCTACTGGCTATTTATGAAGCAGCACGACTGAGAAGATATGGATCTTTGTGCTTCGTTCTTTCTCACCACGAGATCCAAGTTCGGTTTGGAATACTGTACATGTATCCGAGTGTCAGTTGAGTCCAGCTCCCGTTGGCACTTGTTATGGGGGGTTTAGTAGGGAAATTATCTACAGTACGGAAGCCACGAAATTCAGGACTGGGCTCCCGCTAGGGGCAAGAAACTGAGGACCATCACAGAAGATGCCAAGATTTGGTTGCACGACTGAATCGTCCCTAAACTAAGAGACGAATTACATAATAAGGGACGATTTAAGGGACGATTCACTGCAAGGGACGATTTAAGGGACGATCTAGGGGACGATTTGGTTAAGGGAAGACTTACATGTAGAGGGACGAATTTGGATTTAAAGGACGATAGAGTGACGTTTAGGGACGATTTAAGGGACGACTCCAATTGTCCCTTAAATCGTCCGTTAGAAGGGACGATTTGGGGATGATTTTTTGCTTAAGGGACGATTTAAGGGACGATTTAGGGGACGATTTCAGATATAGTGGACGATTTTTAATTAAGGTACGATTGTGATTTAAAGGACATTTCAGCCACGACTAACATTTCTCGGCAGGGGGCAAAGGGCAAGGGGTTTGGCTGTGCAGGATCCACGGAGAAATAGCTGAAGCGTGTTTCGGTACCGGTGGTGGCACTGATGAGCTACTATACCGGTAGTACCCGTACCGGTAGCCAGCACCCACCCATTCTCGAAGTTCTTCTACCGTACAAAAACATAAGAATTAGTAGGAAGGATGGCCGAGAAATCTACCAGTAAACCAATTGCTGTCCTCGTTACCAGAGAGGCGTTCACCTTTCGATCGATCGAGGAAGCCAGTGACCAGCTCCAGTAAGTGATCCGAATAATACATTCTGTTTTTCCGAAAACCATTGCTGCAGTCTGATTTGCCGTCGTCGTCCTCCTTCTCCTGCTTCGTTCTGAAAGGAAAATCCCCGACATTAGCAGCAATCTGAAATCTCAAGTTGATGCCACGGAATGGAGCAACGATGAATGGACGGCCCTCAGAGACGGATGCCGCCAACATGCCGTGCTGGAGATTTTCCTGCTGGAAGTGGGTACAGCTCTGGACCAACAGACCAGCAAAGATGAAGTCGTAGCGGCTCTGTTATCCAAACAGATTGAAATTGTCAAAGACTTGGCCGACGAGTTCCGAATGAAAATTCTCTCTGGGTTTAGCTGCCTCGTCGAGTTGGCCACTGATGCGCCAAAGGGAAGGGATGCTTTGATCGAAACGGTGACCATTGGCGAATCCTTGGCAGCTCAAGTTGGTCTGCCAGAGGCTGAAGCTGACCCATTCGGCCATATCAGGGCAGATGCACTGGACACACTTGCGCGAGTCATAGCAGAAAGGTAAGAACAATTGCATCTATCTGTGAGTGGTCGGAAACTGCAAACTCAATTAGATGGAGCTACAGGATTTCGGAAAAGTTTCGAAATGCCACAGAATCGGTGGCACTGGTAAGCAACGTTCATGCTCTTGTGGTCCGGCCAGAACTCCTGTGCCCAAGCTCATCTTTGTATCTGTCGTGTTCTTTAGCTCGGCGACAATGAGTTTAGTTCCGTCATGGATGCCGTCCTGCAGACTGCAAATGAGGTACTTTCTGAAATCAAAATCATGGCGAAGGATGTGGTGGCTGGAATGCCTTCTGAGTGGGAGTTTGGACCCGTATTGATATGTCTCGTGGCTGAGGAATGTTCGACGGGGATGTTGCAGCAAATAACGTCTGAACATACGTATGTTGAGTTGTCAGAGGCACATCTGTTGGGCCTCGTTGCGTGGGTTGAAAAGTGGAAGCTGACTGTCCAAGAGATTTTCCCAGAACTGTCATCCCTGGTCGGCAGCAAAAGGGCAAATTTTGACAATCGACCAATGCTTCGATCAAGCGACGGAAAGCTTGATATAGGCATGGCAAAGGAGGCTCTCAAATATGCCAATAACCTGTTGTGGGACGTTCATAACATGGCGCTCAGTAAGTCGATCTCCGTTGCTGTTTGTTTTGTTTTTGTGGTGCCAGCTTGTCCTTGCTCATGCCCCTCCGTTCCATTCTACAGCCGAGTTTGTGTTCAGAACCAAAGAGGAAATCGCGGAACTGCTCGATAGGTGTTACAGGTACGTGGGCGGCAGTCTCTTGAATTTGTTTCGAATCTGGCAGCTATAACGCGTTGACTCACGCGGCGTCTTCCAAGGGCTGAACATCAAAAGTTGGAACCATCCGATGGACTTCTCACATCATCATTGGATATGGACATCTATGGATTCATTGGTGTCCCCGTGAAGAAAATCCAGGAGGCTTTGCCCCCAAAAACAAATGCGATCCCTCAATGCTTGGGTGTCATCCTCAAATGCCTCTTCGACGCACAAAAGACCCACTTGAATATGATCTTGACTGACTTTGAAAGTTGCTGTGCGAGAGTCAACGATTTCAGTCAGATGAATAGGAAATGTGAAACTCTCGTTAACGAGATCCGGGGTCTCGTGGCTCCCGAGTCTTTGGAAGCTCTTAAGAAGCAAGAAGAATGTGTACGGGAACGTTACACCGCAGATGCCGTTTATGCTGCGCAGAAAACCAGCTACTTCATCTTCAACGACATCTATGAATGCGGCGATATCACGGGTAGCCTGTTCAACGAAGTTTGGCTACAAGATACAGGAAATGGCATTGCAGAACAAATTGTGATTACGATGAACGACTACTATGGTGACTTGAAGGGCTATCTTGACGACAAAATGGTCATCAGGGCCCTTGAAGCACTGATCAAAAAATGCTATGTATACTACGTGGAGCAGTTGTTAGCCCGGTCGTCTGTGCACAAAAGTACCAACGAATCTTTCTTTGCAGACAACAAAAAAGCTCTGAATCGATTGAAGGATGACATTGGCGTCATCAAGGAGTTCTTTGAAGAGATTGCAAGTGAAAAGGAAGAGCCAGAGCTGAAAGCAGTGATCGCTTTAGAGTTTAAAGTGTTGGAAACAATTCACGAGGTCATGAGCATCGCTGCTGGTGCTGGTGTTTCCCATGATGATATCAAGCCTTGCATACGGGCATTGCATGATTCACTTGGAAAATACGCTACCGTGCGCACCATTGTGAGTGGCCTTTATCGTTTGGTAAACCCCGCGGAGTTGGAGGCAGCCACCAAAAAACTCGACGAGGAGGAGAAAGATTTGAAGACCAATGACAGCAAAGAAGACATTGAAGTGATTGCCCACGAATCGGTGCCAGGACAAAACCTGGATGTCCTGGTGCTCCTTCCATCTTACAAACCGCCTCTGGCAAAGGTTGATAGCAGCGTTTCATCGCCTACGAAACCACAGCCAAATGGATCCCAACAGGCGAAGTCTCTGTTACCACTGGAGCTACAGCAAGAGTTGGCCGCCAGAGGTATTGGCGGAAGCAACACAACAATCATCTCTGAATTGCTCAAGCGTCTAAAGGCTGCCGAAGAACACTTGCGCCAGAAGAATCCAAGGCCAGATGACCAGTTGTGAGAAGCCCCCGTAACTTCGAACTGATAGTCTTAGAATAAGTATGCGGTATGATTATAACTGTGTGCGGTATGATGCTCATGTAGCCAAATTTGACGTTTGCATTCTTTCATGCTCAATACTGTAGTTCCAACAGTTCGTTTGCCGTGTGGCTCGACTGGAGTCTGGCCCAGTGTCCCAGTGTATGCGGTATCTACTGGTACCAGGTACCACCGGTGGCGCAGCTCCCAGCTCTGAAGATCATCATCTGCCGAACTCTATCCCTTTGCTTCCTCGTCCACATGCTTGACATCCGTCCCGGGAGACCAGAGAAAAGGCGTTGGAATGAAGGTTTGGCAACCAAGCAATCAATAGTTGTACGCCTCATCAACACAACACAGGATCCCAGCTCTCCCGATTGCATAACCCTGTTCCTGTTCCACACTCATGGCCTCAAGATTTGTTTCCACGTTCCGCAAGATCGTGGATCGCGCTCGTGATAAATCCAACTTGATGGCCGGCAAACGATAAGATTTGCCCAACAACATGCAATGGCTCAATGGCACTAGGTTCTGGGGATAGCAAAAAGAGACAACCACTGGATCATATCTACTCTAACGAGCTATTATCAGATTTTCAGCCCTTCAGGAAATGGCGATGACTGCTACCAAACTTATGCTTTCTGAATGCCAAAATGTCTACCGGTACAAGTGGCTGTGTACGTAGCTATGAGGAGCTGTAATTATTATGTATTCTGATCGTACGGTATCAGTGGGTACAGACCACACGCATCAAGTGTCAAGACCGAACACTTAAATTCTTGATCATGGCGACCATTGCTTTGGGCGTGCTTGTTCGGTCTTGCTTGGCTGGAAATGTACCACCGCTTGGCGGTAGCCCCGTTGGAAGGGGAGCAGAGCACTGGGAACAATCTCACCAGTATGAATGATTGAACCGCGTGAAGATCGCTATGATATGGCTGTACCGGAGTTGTTAAGAACGGACAGGTTCGTCCTCAAAGGTTCCCCATGATTTTTAGGCCTCTGTGGAGCAAGATTGAGACGTTGGCCAACAAAGATGAGCTTGAACAGCTTGAAGCAATCGTGTGCAAAGAAAAATGAGGCAACTTACGGATTTAGGGTATACATTTCAATTTCCTTTGAATACCGTCATTAAATCAATGCTGCTTTCTATGCTTTGAATCTGCGAAAGAACACGCACTTTTGTCAGCCAAATTGGCCATTCGTGCCAGTCAGCGGATGTTTAGTTGCCGTTCGCTTCGTTTGTTAGGCAATGACACAAGTCACATCCATGTGATGAGCTAGGCATGGCGTTACTGGTGCTGCCAACATCATGATCGCTGTCAAATAAAACAAGATTAGTCTCTTTCCTTCTGCTGAGGCTCATTGAACCAAAGAAAGCAAAAGAAAGAAACTCCAAAGAATAGAAGAACTAATACTCTTCCGATGGTCGCCATGTCCTTTTTCCATTTCTGCTGGAAGGACCCTAGTGAGCCCCTGAAGATGGGTGCATTCGTGGAATGCGGCACTCCCGATACTCAATGCAGCGAACGAAAGGACCCCATGGGGATAATTCCTTGGGTACATTCACGAGCCTTTCATGACACTTACGAGTTAGAAGAAAAGCTGGGCTCAGGAAGCTTCTCGGTTGTCCACGCTGCAAGGGCACGAGACCCTCCCCATCAATCGTATGCCGTCAAGATTATCCAGCGAAAGAAACTGGTAACTCGCAAACAGCTCTTGGGTTTCAAAGATGAGATTAAGATACTGGCAGGTCTGCAGCATGACAATATCATTCGACAATATGAGCTCTACAAGGAGCAGAAATTCTTCTTTGTGGTGCTGGAAAAGCTAGAAGGAGGGGAGCTCTTTGATAGGTTATGTGAACGAGAAACCTATCACGAAAAAGACGCCAGGGATGCCATGCGAATGATATTCGAGGCCGTAGCCTACTTCCACTCGAAAAAAATTGCCCACCGGTATGTTGAAACGCAACCAAGTTGATCATTCAGATTGTCGGCGAAAAGGCTCATTCTCCATCCTTCTTTCTTCGCGCTCCTTCCAGTGACTTGAAACCAGAGAACCTCTTGCTCAAAGATAATTCAGAAGACAGCCCCATAAAGGTGGCAGATTTTGGCTTTGCAAAGTATGTGGAGACTCCAGAGTCACTCCTGACCCTCTGCGGTAGTCCAGCATATACTGCTCCCGAGATCGTCAACTACATTCCTTACGATGAGAGAGTGGACAACTGGAGTCTAGGAGTGATTCTTTTCACTGTGCTGGGTGGATATCCTCCTTTTTATCAACCAACAATCCACGAAACGTTTCAGCAAATCCGGCAAGGTTCCTATACTTTCCCCTCCGAGTACTGGGCAGGTATTTCACCGGACGCCAAGAAACTCATCAAGGGCCTCTTGAATCGAGACCCCAATCAACGAATCACTGCAGAAGAGGCACTGCAACATCCTTGGATGACGGGACGAGGGGAAATGCTTGCGCAACGGTCCCTCTCAAACAGTCTAGAACGATTTCAGGAGTTCAACTGGGAGCGGAAAAGACAACAACACACCAATGGCGACGTCAAGTCTGTGAGTATGTATTGGTTGGTATCAAGGAGATGACAATACTCGTCGTCCAGGCAGGGAACGCCGCGGAAGTACCAAGGTGGAGACACATGAGGAAAAGATAGGAAACCTATCTGTGTGACCATATTCCTTTTTATTTTGTCTAGATTTTGGGATGGCACTGGCAATGCCGGTATGTGTAATTTAGTAATAATTTTTGCAAAGGTTTTGAGAAAGAGTCAGCTAGAACACAAATCACAAAGTGATACTCCGAATCGACACTCCAATGTGACGGTCTACAGTGTAGGTTTTCTATACTTAGTGTTCGCCTTCACCCAGCGCAACCAAGTAAAAGTGGGTGTTTCTACATGAAGACATGCCGCTTGGTTATCTCCTGGCCACCTTCCTGCCTGCCTCCTTGAATAAATGATTGGATCATTCGAGTTATCATTCGTTCAGCTTGCCCTTTCTGAAGCGTACCGGTACACCAGTACGAGTACCAGTACGACCTTGCGGGACAGGACTTGGTCCTGGGTTGGTCTGAGCTCAATCGTACGGTACAGGTACGGGGTCTCTCTTAGACCTGCTGTTTTATTATCTCGACGACCAATGCACTTTTTGGCAGAGTTTTTGTCCCATGCTGCCCTTTTTGGCAAAAACCATCGCCGCAGTGTTGTTCTGAAATCTTTTCTGCGTCCCGGTAATGCCATTAGAAGCGACACTGAAAATGAGTAGCGGGACCGCTTGTTTTTCTGTGAACACCAAGATGTTGATCTTTCTCCCGTACTTCTGCATGTTGGCGCTTTTGCAACCCGCCTTGGGACGAGACGCGTCGGAGGATCCCTCGTTTCTAAGGGCAATGGAAGCAACGAGCATCACAAGCCAACGAAGAGAGCTTATCGGAAATTGCAAAGGTGACTGTAACTCGGACGATGATGTACGTACGAGCTCGTACAGCAGTTTCGCAGTTTCCGAACTTTTCTAGCTCATGGGTTTGCAGCTCAAGAAAATGCCACGCTCACCTTTAACTATTGCTCCTTTCGAATCACTTGTTTCTTTATGAATCACACCAAAAGTGTAATGGACACCTTATCTGCTACCAGAGAGATCCCGGGGAAAGAGTCCCAACATGCTGCCCAGGCAAAAACCGTGAAAATGGCAAGGATTTTTGTGTTACAGAGAGTTGTGCTGCTCACACAGATGCACAAGAGGACGATGATCCCTACTGGCAGCTAGACGATGACTTTTTCAACAAGATCAAACCTTGTGAGCCTGGATGTGATAAGGATGATGATGTACGAAACATAACATGTCTTGTTTCCCGGTCCTTCTCAACAAGCTAATCCTCTGTTTTCTCTCTACTCCCTGGTTGCTGTATCAAGTGCTATAATGCATATGTTTGTTTCAAAAGAAACTTTGGAGCTGCCATTCCCTCATGTTGTGCAAGTAGAAACTACCCAACTGACAATGATCGCAACTACTGTGCAGTGAGGACTTGTAATAGTAGTGGTGGTAGCTTGTGCTTCTCTGGTGAAACACAAGTCCATGTTTCAGGTGGCAAAACTGTCTCCGTGAAAGACTTGCAAGTAGGTGACCAAGTCTTGACCAGAAACAGTCAAGGGGACATGATCTATCAACCAGTCTATGCCTTTGCTCACAGGCACCAGTCCAGACCCACTCAGTTCTTGGGGATTCAAACAACAACAGCTGGAGATGCTGAGACGAAAGACAGTGCAGAGTCACCTCTTCTTGAAATGTCAAGAGAGCACATGGTTTATGTCCAGGGAAAGGCCAAGCCCATTAGAGCTGATACAATCCAGGTTGGGGACATACTACAGGGGATCTCTTCAAAGCAGCAGCATGTGGTGACAGAGATTTCTCCTGCTGCCAGTGAAGGCTTGTATGCACCATTGACCCGATCTGGCACCATTGTGGTGTCCAATGGCATTGTTGCCTCTAACTACATTGCAATGCAGGAAAAGCAAACAAACGATGCTGGCTATGTCAATCTCCCTGGAATTGGCCCTCTGTCATTTCTCCACCAAGCTGATGTGGCCCACATGTGGCTGAGCCCCTTCCGAATCTTCTGTGGTGAACTTGAGGTTTGCCAAAGTTTCAATGCTGATGGGTTCCTCCATTATGCTTCATGGGGGCTGCGCCTGGTTCATTTCATGGAACAACAATCTCTTTGGGCCCAGATTTTGGTGTTGATCCCAATGCTTATTGTTTTGTCTTTCTTTGCAACACTGGAGCATGTGCTTGATATGGCTGGTAGTTCTCCAACCATCGTGATACTGCTCCTTGTTTCTGCTGCATTGGTTTGGCTTGGTTTCAGACGCCAAATCAGAAACCTGTCGTTGCTGGGGAAAAGATGAAGCAAAGCGAACTCAATCTGTGAATTAAAATGTAACAACTCGTTACTGCCGATCGATGACAACGATGTACTTGTTTCATAGCTCGGGCCATTCTTGAAATCGATCTTTTGTTTGGAAATCAATCCTGGCAACAGTGGAACAAGATTTATCAGCGCTAGGAGGACTACTTTGGGAGGCATGGATATTGGCGGTGATTACTGAGTGCCGATGGAATTGCTACGAGCAAACCATTTGCTTGATCAAGAAGGGCATGCACAAATCACGCTCAGCAACTACTAGTATGCCACACCACAGCTATTGTACTGGGCGAAGAAAGCGGAAGAAAATGTTTGCGGACCCATCTGGAGGTGGTCGTTCGTAGTCGATCGTGGTCGATGAAAGTGAAAGGGGATCAGCTGAAGGGGTTAGTCGCTGCCGCTAGGGCAGCCAACCAAAAGCTGCTTTGTGGATACTCTTTGATCCTCTGGTTGGTCTGATGACAAAGGCACAGGCTATCGCTAGAGGTGGACAGCAGTGACTTTAGCAGCACTTCGGTGTTTGGGGTGTGGCTCTTGCTGCTGGTAACTGTCTGGCTGGCTGGCTGGCTGCAAGGCGTACCTACAGGTTTGGCAGCGCAAAGTATGCATACGAGCAGCTTCGATTTTATTGATTCAAACGCGTGCCGGCATTTCTGGTACATTTCTACTAGAGCTTGTGTAGAAGTGTACTGAAAAGTGTGGCGCGCGTTTGAATCAATAAAATCGAAGCTGCCTGTAGACAGTGGCAAGCCAGAGAGCGATTCTTTTTTCTGTGTGACAGCTTTGTTAGATATCATTCGTGCATCAAGCACGCTTCGAAAGGTTTCACGTGCATCAGTACAGGTGTCGTACCAATATAGAGAGAAGCGGATTCATCATTCTAGCAAGAAATATATTTACTGACATTTACTGGTACTACACAGAGGGTGTCCCAAAAGAACGAAGATCCATCCTTCGATCCTTGTTGCCAGAGGCATTCCACTCCATCTTGATCTCTGGAGATGTCGAGTCTACAGTCGTTTTCCTTCTATCTTTGGTTTCTAGTGCTACCCGTGAAGGGGGCAGATCGTGCCCTTGGATCTTCTCATCAACAGTTTCTGAGGGCAATGGACCTTGTTGCCGGTGCTCAAACAGAGCAGAGACGTCTGAGTCACAGTAGGGATTCTGACGATGACTTCTTTTCCACAATTAAGCCATGCGAAGACAAGAGCTGTAATGATGACAATGATGTAAGCTCCATTCTTCTCTCACAATGTATTGGCTGATTTGTGGCTTCTCACTGTTTCCTTTGCTATCACATGTCGTCAGTGCTATGACGTGTATATTTGTTTCAAAAGGGAAAAGGGTGATCCAATTCCAAAATGCTGCGACAACAGAGACTACGAAACAGATAATAGTCGCAACTACTGTGCTGTCAAGTCTTGTGACACTGGTGGTGGTGGCGGTGGCCTGTGCTTCTCCGGTGAAACAAAAGTCCATGTTTTTGGTGGCAAAACTGTCTCCATGAAAGACTTGCAAGTGGGTGACCACATCCTGACAAGCAACAGTCAAGGTGAAATGATCTACCAAAAAGTTTATGCTTTTGCCCACAGGCACCACTCCAGACCCACTCAGTTCTTGCAGATTCAAACCAACACAATCAACGAGGAGGAGGATGACACCGCAGAATCGCCCATTCTGGAAGTGACAAGAGAGCACATGGTTTTTGTGGAGGGGAAGTCCAAACCCATCAGAGCTGATACAATCCAAGTTGGGGACAATCTACTTGGAATTATTTCAAACCAGCAGCATGTGGTGACAACAATCGCTCCAGTTGTCCGTAAAGGCATGTATGCACCACTGACCCACTCTGGCATGGTTGTTGTTGCCAATGGCATTGTTGCCTCAAATTACATTGCAATGCAACCAAAGCAAACAAATGGTGATGGCTATGTCAGTCTCCCAAATATTGGCTCCGTGGCATTTCTCCACCAAGCAGATGTTGCCCACATGTGGTTGAGCCCCTTTCGAATCTTCTGTGGTGCACTTGAAGTTTGCCATAGGGTCAATGTCGATGGGCTTCTCCACTATGCTTCATGGGGGCTCCAGCTTGTTCATTTTATGGAACAACAACCACTTTGGGCCCAGCTTTTGGTGTTGATCCCGGTGCTTGCTATATTGTTGTTCGTTACAGCACTGGAGCAGGTGCTTGATGCAGTTTCTGTCACCCCTTTTATGATGATGCTCAGCCTTCTGGTGGTTTGGCTTGGTTTTGGTGCATTAAGAAGGTTGTCTTCCAAATTCAGACAAAGTGGAAACACAACTAAACTAGTGTGAATTATCTTATAGATTGTTTGTAACTGCATGATTATTCTAGGCAGCATGCTGTGAAACCTTAGTCACTCCACAGAAAAAGCAGTCCAGTGATGATTGATTGTTGTACTTTTGCTTGGAGTGAGAAGCCACAACACTCGAATGAGGTTACAATTGAAGCAGAGATAGACACAGACATGAATCAAGCTACGTCTTAGTCTTTGTGGGACCGCACCCTTCTTCTTGTGCTCATTGCAGGCTTCAACACTCTCATCCAAGCAGAGTGCTCAGTCTGGCCAGCACCAACATTGGTGAACTTGCCTCCCTTGATGGGTTGGCTCTTGCTTGGTTTCTTCTTGACCCACTGATGCAAATCAGCCCACTTCTTCTCATTGTTTCCCCAAACATGACAACAGAGCTTGGCTAATGTAATGCAGGGGGGTGAAAGCGGGCTTGAAGTTGGTTCAACCATGAGTTGCAACCGCGACACTGGTTTTCGCCCTGCTGCGTTGGCTTCTTGTCACAAAAAGCCTTGATGTCTGGCCTGTCGGCCTGTCTGCCGGCACTTCAAAGAGGAAGAATCTTGATTGACGTTTTGTTTTTTGTCCGACATTTTTTGGAGGTTGTTGAAGGCCCATAGCTGGCATGTGATTTCCAAAGGAACATCCACCATGATTGCTAATGGAATGGTGGCCAATGGTCTCAGATTATGGCTCTTGTTTGTGCTCCTGCCTTGCCAAGATGTCTCTGCCAAACAGAACAAGGAATCCAAGAAGTTTCCGTTTGTGCGACCTGAAGTGATTCATGGCGGCTATATTCCGCCACTGACAAACACTGTCAGCACCGGATTGCAAAGACCATTATCACCAAGGATACCGGTATCCAAAGCAGCAACGATTCCAACGGTTTCTTCTAGCACCAAGAGTGCCTTATTCGCCATTGGTGGTGCTAGCAGCTCAACTAGTCGAAGAAATGAAAATGAACACCCTAAGCGAAGAATTCCATTGACCGTGGCTGTCTCCTATGTCTACTTGGCGACTGTCTTTACCATGACGCTCATCCCTGTTGTCCTCATGCCGGTCGTGTCATCGACATCATGCAAGGCTGCTGCTGCAGCAGGGGCTACTCCCGCTCAGATCGCCTCGTCTGCCTCCTCCATGGTGACAGCCATTGCCTCTGTTGCTTCCTTGGGTGGGGCCGTCGGTCGGTTTGTCAATGGATTTGCTGTTCAAATATATGGAGGCAAGTTCTCGTCATCATCTTATTTGATGGTCATGGCCGGTTTTGTCACCTTGTTTGGGACGTTACCGCCACAATCCACCAATACGTACACCTACGCTGCAGTCCTGGCGGGGATGGAGTTTTGTTACAGCATTCAGTGGGCAGCTTGCCTCTACATTTTATCCAATCACTATCTTTCCGACTCAAGCAGCGAAAGCAAAACTAGGTTTGCCAAAAGTGTCACGTCCATTTCACTTGGTAGTACCGTTGGAATCCTCTCCTCCAAGGCTCTGGGACCAGCACTGCTGCATCTGGTTTCTCCACGCATTCTTGCTTTTATCGGTGCCTTGGTGGCCTTGTCAGGTTCCTTGGTTATGGGTCAATTGGTACAAGAGTACCCTGACAACTATCACAACAACAAAAGCAACAAGGAACCATTCCACTGGTCACAAATTCTGGATTCCGTAAAGGCCATTGGAGGCACCAAGCTCTTTTGGTTGGCCAGTGTGGGGCACGGCATTGTCTATCTTGCACGGCAGGCAGATCGAGTGCTTGGTTCCTTCTTTGAGGTTGTCTCGGGCTTGCCTACATCGCTATGTGCCGGGTTGACAGCTTCAGGTAAGTCCAAGAAATCAGTGTCACACGCCTAGCCGATGCAGATTGCTCAGAAATCGTTGGTTCCCGCACCTTCTATCATAAGTGACATTGGGATTTGTGCTAGGGTTGGTCACGGCCACTCGCAAGTGGCCCAGTTTAGAAACACCACAACAACAGAATCGGTTCTTTATGCAACGGTACGCCATGGGTGTTCTGGCGTGTCTGGGGTTGGCGGTCGCGTCGATTCCTTCTGCCATGACCATGCTGTCACCACAACTCAAAGCAGCCGTGGTAGTCCTGGCGTCAGGGTTGATGGCTATGGCAGTAAGTTACCAATTCTACCAATTCCCTCCATTGATTGCCAATCTCTATGGACGCAATAAGGCTGTCGTGACGAGTTGGCTCAATGGCATGGGATTCTTGATTGCAGCACCGGTGTGGGCCATTACATCTCGGGTTGTCCGAGCAGCTCCGGGTGGTGTTGGATGGGCTATGGCATGGACCAACATTGCCGTGCTCTTTGGTATATCCGGATTGTTGATGACCAAAATGGTTCTGCCGTCGGTTTTGGCGGGGACAGAAAAGCAAAAAGACACGTAGGAGAAAGAGTTGAAGCAACGAATCAAAGTATACCCTGGAATCATTCAGCAGAGGCAAACAATCTCATAAGCAATTGCCTAGCTAGAATAGGCTGCCTCAAAGCAACTGCTTTCCTTCGTGGTCATGTATGTGGTTGTGCATGTATGTATGCAAAAAGAGTTAGAAATATACCACGTTGTTTTTTGGTCTTTCCTTTTATAGAACAAGCCTTCACCGTGACGCGGTCACCAACTCGTTCCGCCTACGGTTACATTGTCTCTATCTATTCAAAAAGTATGGCTACAGCAATTCCATTCCAATACCTTCTTAGCGATACCTACGTAATCCACAAGCTTTCTCCGTACTCCTCTTTTTCTTGCCCCTTCGCTCTCGTCCCTTGGCACTGTTGGGATTGCGACGACCAAACCCAGCGGCAATGTCATCCACATTCATCGTCTTGGCACGGCAGCCAACATTGGCAGCAATATCCTGTCCAAACATGGATTGTGAAGCACTCTTGGCTTTTCCACCGGATCGAATCTTGACCTTTTGATTCCAAGCACCCATCATGAGTTGATCTTCTCGTAGCAAGATATCACCTTGGAAACGGTTGCCCTAAAGCCACACGCAGCAACGCATCAAACTATTGTGAGTCATGTCACACAGACACAAAGTCTCACCACCAGTAATTAATGTACTAAACCTACCGTTCCTGGTTTGGGCAAGGAAAACTTTGTTCCACGAGTACTCGTCTTGTGTTTTTTGGACATGTGCAACCGCAGCCGTCCCGTCTTGGCATCGACACTGGCAGCGATCCGCTGGAGCATATCCGATCCGCATCGTTCGCAGAACAATCGTTTCATGCCGTGGGGCCCGTCGTCGTCGTGTTTGGTGTACACTTTGAAGCAGGCACCGCAACGAGTGACCCAGTTCTTGAGACGTCGAATTTTGACTCCATCCACCGACACCAATTCGAGATTCATTTGCAGCAGTACATTTTGCATGGCAAAATCCGTCGTGGCACAGGCCGTTCGTTGCGACAGTGGCGGTCCTTTGGCAGCGATTTCGCCGTCCAAAGGATTCTTGGGTGGTGCCAACGTGCCGGTTGATTGGAGAGAGCGGATATCCTTGGAACAGGTAATCCATCCCTCTCCATCGTCTTCGACATCGACTTCTTGGCCCGACATGTTGACACCTCCCATGATTCTGGATTGTTGCGTGGTTTCGGCAGCAGGCGTTTCCTCGACAGCTTCGATTTTCTCTTTCTCCTCCTCCACAGTGGCAACGACCTTTTTCGTAGATGGCGGTGCTGGTTGAAAGAGTTTGCCGTAACCCCGAAAGGAATTGTAGAGTTTTCCCGAATTGGAAACGGGTTGAGTGGCCTTTTTCTTTCGTTCTTCCTCGGCTCTTTGCTGGTATTCGATGGGTTCCATGTCATTGTCGTCTCCTTCGTAGGGCACATGAATCGATGCCGCCAAACTGGGAAATTCTAATTGCAGTTCTTCTTGCACGCCATTATTGTTGTTGTCAATTTCCTCTTCGTCTTCTTCCTCGGCATCACTGAATTGGCCATCGTTGTTGATATTGAGTTGCCCCATGGATGCCTTCAATGAGACTTCTGCTGTTTGAATATCAGGTGCAGGAGCACTGGCAGCAGTCTTGGGATTGACCAACATGGCCCATGATTTGGGTGCAGCTGGTGTGGTTGTTGCTGGAGTTGTGATTTCTGGAGGCTGAGTTGGTTTTTCTTCAAAGAAGGAGACCTGTTCTTTCGACTTTTCTTCTTCTTCTTCCTCCTCTTCTTCACTGTCTTCTACTACATCATACTCCAGCTCTTCTTCTTCCTTGGATTCTCCAGCATTATTATTATCAGTAGCTTGTTGTTGCTGCTTGGGTTTGTTGTTGTTATTTAATAATTCCACTTTTCCAATTCCGACAGTCCTCTTTGGAGTTTTTCGCACATGATCCATATTGCCCTGACATCCCTCTTGTTCCAGTTCGTAGACCAACGCCAAGATTTGGGTATCGACACTACTGAGACTGCGATAATCTCCCGTGAGACGGGCAAATTCCGTCACGGCTTGAATACTCGCGGGAGAGGGTTCTCTGGTGTGCAACTCAAACGGCAACGTCTGCAAATGCTGACGAGCCCTGGCATCACGAATTTCGGCAATCACGGCGGGCACGGTATAAAAAGCATGCGCCCGATCGTTCAGCGCCGATATTCCCGTGAGCTTGATAATGGGACCGGAATCGACCACCAATGTGCGGTACTTGTTATTGTCTTGGGGAGAAGCTTCCTTCGGTGTCGTTGCAGCAGCATTAGAAGGATCCACTGCCGTGGTGGCATTGGTGGTGCTGGGGGCCGCCATTTTTTAGGTCTTGCCTCAAGAAGAAGTTGTAATGGGGAGAAGAACAAGCAACAACGACCAGGAACGAAGAACAAATAATAAAAAATGAGCCCCGCAGAATTCAGTGGTGGGAGAGTTGACGCCAACACCAAGCGCGCGGCTTTCGCGTGAAAAGAAATAAAATAATTTTATTGGTTTAGTTACTTGTACGTGTAGACAACCCCCCATTGTCTCCAGCATTCCGGTATCTTTGCTGTGAGTCCTGCATCAACCGTGGGTGCAATGCTTGTGGCATTTCATCCTTGCTTGATCGATGATCGAAGATGCCAAGCCTCCCATCTCTGGCTCGTACATGCAGCCACTTAGCACTTTGTAGTTATTCATTCCTATCGGCATGATGGATAGTATGTTTCGTGGATCCCAAGAAACGTTGCGGTTGCCTTCGCCAGAGTTGCTGTGTAGCGAGACCTCGACCACTTCTGATGATCGTACCAATGCCAATAGTAAGAATTCTGCAGTCACCTTTTGTTGCTCCGTGGCGAGTCAACATCATGAATGGTGTCAGCAGCCAGATGTTCCAACCAAGTTGTACTTTGGCTGCCGAGAAGCATCCTATGGAGTCTTGAAGAACACAGAACCGGTCGCCACCACCATCAACGAGGAGAATGGCAACTCAAGACACAATGAACATAATGATGATAACAATGACAATGATGATGACGACAATGACAATGATGATGCCATGGACGGCTTTTTCATGATTGCTGCCGAATCGTATCCGTACGCCTTGGCAGGACGAACTGGAGCTCAAGTGTGGCCTGGATCTCGCATCTTGGTGGATGCCCTCCTGTTTCCTCGTCCCGCCACGGATCACAAGCGACTCCAGCATTGGCAGGCTGCACTACTACGCGATAACAACAATCTACGAATCGTGGAATTGGGTGCCGGAGTGGGCATGGTGGGGACCTTTCTGGCCGCTGCCGGAGCGCAAGTACTGTTGACAGATTTGCCCTCCGTCGTTACCGAATCTGTCGTTCCCACGTTGGAAGGCAATGCTCGCAACAACAAAACGCTCACAACCACAACAGAGCACTCAAATTGGCTGTCGTTGCAACAACAACCCGTCTTTGGCATTGGTCGGGGATTTGCGGCAGCCGCACCGTTGGATTGGACTCGACCGGTCGCCGAGCAATTGCCACATTGGAACCACCAAGTAGACCTCATCGTGGCCAGTGACTGTGCCTTTTTCCCATCCATGGTCGAGGGACTCTTCACCACGGTGGCTGCTATTTTCGATTTGGCCAGCAACAATAACAACAATAGCAGTCAACCCAAGCTGCTGCTCAGTTGTCAGCGACGAGATGCTCACTTTTTCACGTCTTTGGAATATGTAGTGGCACAGATTCGGGCCCGTTCTTGGAAATGCGAATGCCTCGCCTGGTACCCGTTGGAATTCGAGGATGACAAGGAAAACGGCGTCAAGGACAATGTGGAACAAGTGGAAGGCGAAAGCAAGGAAGTATTCATCTTTGAGATTGCTCCTGCCAACGCTCCTAATAGGTAGTTAGTACATAATAGGGTGGATAGCACAACTCATGATGTCACAAAATGCATACGTTTGGTTTCATTACTTGCTAGGCCCTTGGATATATATTTGCATGACCAAACTTGCAGCATCCAAGATTGCTTGTTCCATCATTCTTCTTGAGCTATAATTCTGCTACAGAAGGATCCACCTGTAACTTGGCCAGCGCCGCTCGGACATCCTCGTGTATGGGCACTGGTCTGCCCGTCTTGGTATCGACATAGACATGGACAAACTTGCCCTGAGCGGCCAATTCCGGACTCTCGGCAGAAAATAATCCCACATCGTACGTGACGCTTTTATTGCCCAGCTGAACCACGCGTAGCCCAATCTCCACATCATGGGGAAACGAGAGTGGTTTGTAGTATTTCATCCCATTTTCCGCCACGAATCGAGGGTATTGTGCTCCATAGCCTTGATTAATCAAATGCATATTGACACCGTCGTCCATGTACTGATAATAGACAGAATTGTTGATGTGTCCAAAGAGGTCCGTGTCGTTAAAGCGGGTCTGGCGACGTTCGAAATGAAGATAGAAAGCTCTCGAGGGCCTGGCATCGGACGAGAAGCAACATTTCTCGGCGAATGATCGACCAAGAAAACAGTGGGATAACCTAGTTCGATGGGACTGGAAGGGACGGATCATCTTGGTTTGAATGATGGCTTGTGGACTCGACTCCTTCCTACATGTACAATGCACCAAGTGATGGAAGAAGGAACTAGCGAAGTTGCGTAGGCTTGGATCTTTGGACGTAACGAAAAATCAGAAAATTGAAATTGTGTGAAATCAGAAAATTGAAATTAAGTGAAATCGGGAAAATTGAAATTGAGAGAAATCATAGAAATTGAAATTGTGAGAAATCAAGGAAATTTAAATTGTGAGCAATCAAAAATTGGAATTGTGAGAAATCGGAAAAAATCGAATTGTGAGAAATCAACAAAATTTGAATTGTGAGAAATCGGAGAAATTTGAATGGTGAGGAATCAAGGAAAATTTGAATAGTGAGGAATCAATGAAAATTGGAATTGTGAGAAAACGGCAAAATTTTGAATTGTGAGGAATAAAAAAATTTGAATTGTGAGAAAACAGTAAACTTTTGAATTGTGAGAAATCCGAAAAATATGAATTGTGAGAAAACGCCAAAAATGGAATTGTGAGTAATAAAAAAAATGAAAATTTGAATTGTGAGAAAACGGCAAAATTGAAATTGTGAGAAATCGTCAAAAATTGAATTGTGAGGAATCGAAAACTAAATTGGAATTGTGAGGAATCAAAAATCGAAAATTGGAATTGTGAGAAATCATAATTGAAATTGGAATTGTGAGAAATCGACAAAATGGGAATTGTGAGAACCAGAAATGGAAAATTTGAATTGTGTGGAACCGACAAAGTTGGAATTGTGAGAAATCATAATTGAAAATTGAGATTGTGAGAAATCGGCAAAATTGGAATTGTGTGGAATTGGAAATTAACGAATGAAATTGTGAGAAATCTTCAAAGTTGAAATGGTGAGGAATGAAAATTGGAAATTGGAACAATTGTGAGGAATCCGGGAATTTTGTGAGAAGTGCAAGGTGGCATGCTGTACATCGTACCGTACAATGTTACTGTACTCCAGCTTGTAAGTTTGTTGGCCAGAAACTGGACTCAAAGAGAGGAGAATAAGTATTAAATCCTTAGGCATAGTTCATGAATTATTGCATTAAGGGCCTAGTGACCAGTGGGAGAACCACGTGGACCAAAAGGAGAACATTCAAAGAAGAAAAAAGCGCACAGCGCAGCCACAAGAGACACCACCCAGCGTAGCAGCAGACAGGTACCGGTGTACCGGTACCAGTAGTACTAGCTAGTACTAGTACCTCGTAGACAACCTCTCGCCACAGTCCTTCGAAGGGACTTTTACTGCCTTCCTAATAAGAGCAATACTTTTGCTACAATCCAGGACACGATGAGCTTGACTGCGGGTGACACTTCTTATGCCATGGAGAGGGGGCATGCCGCAGACAAAGTTGACGATACTCAAGCAGAGAGTGAGAGCAGCCATGGATCTCATCAGGAAGAGGTTCAGCGACAGTCTGTTACTGTTGTCTCGAGTATGGACAAGGCCAGTGAAGATGAGGATGGAATAGCCCAGGGTCAGCCAGGAGAGTCAAGCCAACTCGAGATAGAAGAGAAAGTGGAGGATGGCAAAGAAGATTCGAATGATTCCAAAGAATCAGCAATGGCAACAGCGGCGGCAGCGTCAACGCAAGTGGAGGAAGAATCGTTCCAAGAAGACCTGCAAAGTCTGGAACGAAGAACATCTACCATCCTCTACCTGACAGATTTTTCCACGTCGGATACGTCTGATGGCGAAGAGTCGGAGGAGGAAGTGGAACAACAACATATTGACAAATTGCAGAAATATGATGACCTCCCAAAGAAACGACCTCCCGTGGAGGAATCTATCAAAGACTACGAGGCTCGTGTCGTTGGAACCAAATTGACGGATGTTGTCAAGGGCATGGCAGACGCTGACCTGAAACTGAAACAGAAGATGGATGCACACGACAACAACACGAAAATGGATCATCGCGGTTGCGAGGAAGAACGCATCAGTTGCAAATCGTCCGACCTGCGAGATCTCTCGCTCGAGTTTAGGAAACAGCAGGACCATGACCATGGACACAATAATGAAAGGACTGTGGGCATGGGAGTGCCCATATCGGATGCCATTCGACGGCGGACCAGTGGCATGTCCTTACCTGGAGCCGTGCCCATGCCCGGATTGTCCGATCATTCCGGTGGTGGGGAGTCGATACGAAACGAGCTGGGTATTTCCGAAATTTCCGTGGATATGACCGGTGAAGTGCCACCATTGTCTCGTCCCCACGCATATGACACTGTGCCTCCTCCGGAAGAAGCCTTGTTGAGTGCATTGTTGGTAGAGGACAACTCGTCAGAGTTGGAAGCCCGAGTACGGCAACAGATCATGCTGGAAGCGGTGGAGGCATGTGAGGTTACGAATTTGGACAGTTCCATGCATTCCGCAAGCACAGTCTCCCGTCTTTCTATACAATCCATCACGACAAGCAGCAACAAATACTCTGTCCTCCTGATTGTTTCTGTGGTGCTAGTGGTGGTGATGCTTGTTGCGCTAGCTGTGGGTGTGGCTGTGGGATTGCACCTTTCCAACAAGAACCACGAGACGGAAAATCCTATAGCCACCGATACCAATGGTACAGTCGCCGCAACAGCGGCACCGTTGGAAAATCTTGTAGGGCCAGGATCTACCATGGCACAAATACGGCAACGAGGACTACTGCGCTGTGGCGTGTACGATTCGGAAATGTTGATCAACGTGGAACATGTAAGACTGATGAATTGCTTTTGTTTGCTTTCGTTTGCTTTGTTTTTGCAAAGTCTCACTCACCCCGTATACCACAGTGTCGCGCAGTGGCTCTGGCCTTACTGGATGATCCCGAAAAGTTTGAAATTGTCATTACTCAATCGTGGCAGGAAGTGGCCAATGGGACAGTAGACTTTTTGGCAATGGCAACACATACCATGGGGCGAGATATATGGGAACCATCCACAGAAATAGCACTGCAATTCACTGTCCCGTTCTTGTATACTGGAATGGCCTATGGAGGAGAACCCACCATGGTGGAGTGTGCCGAAAACAAAGACACCATTCAAGGTGATTGTCGGCAGCTTCGTATTTGTGTGGGTGCCTGGTCGACGCACGTGCAAATTGTCGAAGAATTGCTACCAGCGACCTATATTGTGCCAGTCGAACAAACAGATGATTTTATCAACTTTTTCATTCAAGGCGAATGCAATGTCATGGCCCGTGATGCCGTTTTCCTGTCAGAAGAACCACTGCGAGACGAAGGATACACTGGCCCATATGCCGTGGGTCGAATGGTGTTTTCACGTGAGCCACTGGGCATGGTGTCACGAAGAGGCGAGGATACGCAATTCTCGGATCTGTTGAATGCCGTGATACAAGTATTCTACAACGCCGAGTCCCGAAACTTTACTCAAGCCGAAGCCGTGGAACTACTGGATTCTCCAACCGTGGCCGAACCTACCCAGAACTCTGCACTGTTTGCATTGATGGTGAGACTGGTTGCCGAATTTGGTCATTATGGCGAGCTTTACGAACGCACCATGGAGGACATTGTTCCGAGAGATGGCCTGAACTTGCTCCACAGAGCAAACGATGGGGGCCTTCTGTATTACTTCCCTTTCGGAGACCTCGACGCGTTGGGACCGGATCCACTTCAAGGATCAACACTCGCAACAATATTGGAACGAGGGCATCTGATTTGTGGTGTAGTTCCTCGTCGTGGCTTTGCCGAGAGCCAAAACGTCGTCCAAGGAGTCCGGTCGTGGCAAGGCTTCTCCATCGAGTTTTGCAAGGCGTTGAACGCTGCAATTCATCTTGGCGAGACGGATACGGTCGAGATTGTGGACGTTACCGATGATCGTTTCGCGATGTTAGAAAGTGGAAAGGTGGATGTCATAGCTGGGGTCCGAGTCACTATGCAGAAGGATGTCGAGGAGACGAGCACGATGGCTGGCTTCACTTTTTCAACACCCATCTTCCATGATAGGCTAGGTGACTCTTACGCACTTGTTACAAGCCAGGAAGACGGACAATGGTCTGCTTTCGTTCATTGGGTTGTCATGGCAACAATATACGCTGAAACAGAGGGAGTTTCGAACTCAACTCCGTTTGATATGCCCACAGTGAGCTTGTTTGGCCAACAGTTCAAACAGATGTTTCTGGATTGCATCGCGGCAGTGGGTTCTTACGGGGAAATATACGAAAGGACACTGGAGGACCTTATCCCTCGTTCTGGAGGCAACCTTTTGAACGACGACTTTAGCAATCCACAAGTGTATGCAGTACCGTTCAACTGAACTTCTTGGTTGTGCGCTATACTGGCATTGAGTGTGGGACACATTGGGCGTGTTCCCCCTATGGCAAAGCACCGTGAAGTCCACATCAGTTGCAGGAAGTCGACCCATTCAATCTGTATCATCATTACGGCGTTTGGGATTGGGATTGATAAATTGGCAATGCTACAAAAAGACAATCAATCGAACCACTACATAGCTCTCACAAGCCACGAGCTTTGTGTTGTGTGCAAGAGTTTCACGGGATTACTCTCTACCGTACCTGTACAGTACGCACCGTAGAGGTTTTTGTGGTCTCACTGGCACTGGTTCATCTTCGTTGCCTGACAATCAAGATCAGGAATCGAATCTGGCCTGGAATGCTACTACTGTATTCTTGCTTGCTGGGGACACGCTGGCTTTGTGCAAGTGTGTGGGCTTCCACCTGTACCGTACCTATGGTTAAGTTGTGTCATCCAAAAAAAAATGTTGTTCTTTCTTTGCCGGGATGGCTTCCTTTGACTGTCAGGACCACACTACAGTAGGTGGATTAGATGGTTCACCAACTACAAATACCCATTCCAGCATCGCCAAGTGGTCACTTTGAGTTGAGTTGTCTATCATGTTAATGTACTTTTTCGGCAAAAAGTGAGGCTCGCCCGGCGATTCAATCCGAATTGGGATTGAAAGGCAAACCGTTTCTCTAAGTCACACATTCTAATCACAGTTCCGCGAAACAAAAAATACAGTGAAAAGAAAATTAAGAAATAAAGGCAGTCAATCGGCGAAGCACTGTTTGGCCATTGAAACACCTGTTGACTCAGTAAAAACAGATGCTTTCTCTCACAAGCAGTAAGACGCTCACAAGCAGTCCACCATCGAAACACCAACCAACTGGTGAGCGAGTTAAGCCACCGCGAAGATCCCATGATCCTCTCACAAATTCCTCGAAGATCCGTCAGGAAAGATCCCATCGTCCCACATCGCGAAAGATCTTCCCGTGAAGCCCACAAACCACCCACAGACTCAATATGAAGACCACCAACCACACTCAACAAACACAAGCCATCACCATCCCCTGTTGCATGCCTTGCAACATTCACTCCTACACCTCATCAGCAAGCTAGGAATCCAAAAATGGCAACAGTTGAAAGGGAGTTAGAAATAAGACCAATAAAAGCAGTTCAAACAGCACAAACTCACCTTTCCATCCTCTTCCTCTGGAATGAAATTTGCATCATCAATCTCGTCCCCATTGTCGTCAAACTGAACCTCGTCTTGATCAACCAACAAGTCAATAACGTTGCCGTCCTTGTCAAGCTCAAAGCCAAAGAGATTGCCCGTCTCCAATCGAGCCGCCACATCCTCCGCACTCTCCTCTTGGAGAACCGCATAACCACCACCAAGATGCGGAATTGCATCGGCATGCCACCACTGGTACTTCATCGTCAGAATATCATCCACAATATTGCGGTAGCGAGCACCACCGCGACGTTCCACGAATGTACCGTCCTTCACCATTGCCGCCTTATTCTCTTGCGCTCGAATACCCTTCTGGTCGCCAAGGCCTTGGACGACAGCGCCTCGAGCCAGGTGAATCGCCATCATCGAGTCTTCGAATCGATCCATATCCTGGACGATGCGTTCGCTGGGCGGTGCCTTGGAGGACACGATGGTACGCTTCCTGCCCACGCTTTGGTGTCGAGATGGTGAACTTGGTTGGGTCGTCATCATCCAAATGGCTCGTAATGATGATATGACGATTCACTGAATCATTCACGTCCTTGTTGAGAGACGTATCCCAAGCGTTGGCCTCATCTCATCCCAGACGGTACAATCATCGACTTGAAAATCCCATCCTGCGGCTTTGAGTTTCTCAATATCAAAGCAGGGCGGAAGTGGAAACTCATAGCCAGAACCGGACGCACGAGAGGAATCGTCAGGCTGTTGTTCCGAACTGGAACTCGCACTGCCTTCGTCGTTCGCACTGACTTCATCAGGAGGGGAGTCGGAGGCGTTGACTGGAAATCGAGCTGGAAGAATCAGCCTTGTAAGAGAACCAGACGATTCGTCACTGATCCAGCCGTCCAAGCCCAACACACTTGTCGCTGAGGTAGTTCCTCTGGAGGATCCGTCAGCGCTGCTTCACGAAGCCGGTCAGGAACATCAACATCATGTCCCATGCGAAGCAAGAGCTGTGTAGCCCAACCATGACGACGAAGTGCCCAAGGGGAGTTGACATCCCTGTTGCCTTGCTTCCGCTTGCGAATTGGCACCACCCTGTGCTTGAGTCGTTTCTTCAAGCATCGACGGCAGACCTGGAATAAGGGACCAAGCCTCTTTCAATTCGAAGACGATTCAGATGTTGCATCGCCATTGTCACGCTCATGCTCTTCCGTTCAATGCAGTTGGCAATGAAGACGGCATCAAACGATTGTTTGGGATGATGACGGGCTTGAGTCCAGAATGAACCCGCTGGCCAGTGTAGACAATGTGTTGCTCGCAGCAATGATGCAAGTCGGTGAAGACGTCAACATACTTTGTCCGGTTGCTTTCTTCGTACAAGTCTCTGCGGATCTTGATTGCGTGCCGTTGATGCCAATCCATGGAGTGTCTTTCGTGTCCTCGTGGAATGCATACTTTTAAGCATAAAGATATGCAATAGCCATTTCTTCGCCTCTCTCTGGCAATATGCGCCAAAGCAGCCTTGACCTTCTGCTCATCCGGAATGTAATCCATGTCATTGTAATCAGGATCCGAGTCGTCTTCTTCCATTGTTTGTCAGGCTTGAGGCGATCCGCCAAGGACCGGAGGGGCTCCTCCTCGTCCGAGGAAAGATCTGCAAGACGAGCATGATGAGAACGACGGGTTGGACTCATCCCCAAAGCTTCAGCCACGTCACTCGCACGCTTGACACGCCTTGCTATTGCTTCCTCAGGAGTTGCAGGAGTAACAGTCTTTTGGGCTTTCTTTCGAGCCAACTCAGAGGCAGAGTAGTTCTTTCGCCCTTTCCTTTGGTTGAGTGTGCCACTGTGGCGGCGGTTCTTCTTGTTCTTGCGTTTGGAGGGAGCCATGGTTGAAGCTGCAGTTTCCAGGTGTTGCGCAAGCTTCCACGGCAAAATCAACGACCGACGGCGAAGAGAACTTGGATTGACGGACCCAGCAAATTCCTTGAAGCGTGTGACGGACCGAGCGTGGAGCCTTGTAAGATGACGTGACAGCACAAGCCAAGGCAGCGTAGAAGCAGTAGCTAGCAGTAGAAGAATCCCGATCCCAACAATGCAGGCCGAACGGCCGATCCCCATGGTCGGTCAATCCAAAAGGAAGAAAGATAATGAAGAAGAAGCGCCATTTCGTTCGTTCGATTGTTGAAGATTCTTGCAGAGCTCTGCTAAAGTGTCGATAGTCAAAATAATGAGACGCTTTCTTTAGGAGAATGAAGACGGCTCCGACTGATTCGGATTGGATCTTCTTCCGTTGCGACGCTTCTCTTTCAGTGGTTCGTGCCGTCTTCCACATGCAGCGAAATATCGATCCCATCTGATAAAGAGGCAATACATCATTGTGGAATTTCAATCGGACGCCATTGAACGTTACTCGGAATATGAAATATCGATCGTACATGCGCTTATGACAGGAGAGGTTGACATTCAACATGGTCGCCGATTGGTTTCGCGGAACGAAAGGATGTGAACAACATGGGCTTTCACTGACAAACATGGTCGTGAAACTTGTTGTGTGATAAACTTTGGGTGCAACGGCTAAATCCAAATTGAGAAAGAGGTTCTGTGACTGGAGAGCCGGCCATCTAGTTTAAAACTAACCTCACTTTTTCAGCCTCACATTTTCGAAATCCGTGGGAAACAGAGGCAAATCGCTCATTTCAACACTGGGGAGGCCTTGTTCATGACCAGAAAGTGCCCAACCCATGGAAAATCATATTCGCTCCCTTACTTTATACATAGAGGCGTGGGAGCACACATGATTTTTCCCATTTTGACCATGTTCTCGAGGAGCTAGAGGCCTCCCCAATTTCGATTCTGTACTGAAGCATCGGTACGGTAGTCTGGAAGCCCGCACCCGCGGATCTTGCGTTGCCTAACTAAGTAAGAATGGTTGGAGATGGAACCCGTCTCGAAGAAATTAGTGCAGTTGTGTAGCCTCTAGTACAAGTCTACACAAGTTGAAGTTAAAAAGGACAAGTCTGGACTTGACTCTACTCAAGTCTGGAGTGACATGTTAACCGTCACATTTTGATTACTTAGGGTGGGCTTCTCAACTGGTTCCAACAGGAACACGTCTCCGCTGGTTGAGTCTCGCTGTCACTTAAGTCTCGCCTGGCCGGTCTCGCGTGTTCCGAGCCGTTGGCTCTCCTTTCCACTCTCGCCCGGCCAGTCTCGCCTTAAGTGCCATCTCGCCTCTAAACCAGAGGAGACGTGTTCCTGTATAGAACGGAAGAAAACCCGAGGACCTGTAGCCACGAAACTATAATCTCTGGCTTTGGCCAGGTAGCAATACAGTGCCACCGATATCCTAGCTAGCTAACTCTGGGAAGGAGCCCAGCGACTACCGATAGGGGGTGCAGCCACAGAAAGGCCGCCATACCGTACCTGGTTCTGGTGTGATGGACATGGCACGGTCTGTGGTTGCCGCAAAAGAAGCAGCCAAGCAATTTTAGTCTTGGCACGAATCATGAATGACGAAAGACGAAAACGTGAAAGCAAAACCGGGAAGAGACAAGAAAGAAAAGCACAAAGCGTCGACCAACAACATCTTTTGTCCTGTTGTCTTCGTTACCGTACTGGTAGATAGTTGAATATCCGCAGAATCAGTGATACTGCACCATGACTGCTGCTGCTGATGTACCTGGAGCAGGGCTCCGCTCTGCGATATCGTTTGTTGGTTTGGTCCTGTCTATCTATGCTGTCTACGTTGAATGGAAGGTCCATCATATTCGAGAAGCGCCGGAAGAAATGGAAGAGGAGTTCACGGCTTTGTGTGATATTCAGGCAATTGGGGCCAGCTGCAGGTGCGATATCAAGTGCTTTGTCTTGGTGCTGTTTAGCTTGCTCATACGGTATGCAATCGAAAACGCTAACAGTCTTTCCTCATGCTCTGTTGTTTGCTCAATTTTCCCCTTCATATTCTCTCAGCCAAGTCTTCCAATTACCACAAGGACGAATGCTGTCTTATTTTGGAATCATCCCAGAGGGACACGTACTGGATGTGCCAAATGCAGTTCTGGGATCAATCTACTACTTGTACATGTTACTCTTTTCTCAATTGGTTCCAATTGAATTGACGTACTGCCTGACCGTAGCAGCTATGTCTTCCTCTGTATTCTTGGCTTACCAGCTGACATTTGTGGTTCGAGAGTTGTGTCTTCTTTGTTGGAGCACCCATGTCATCAATTCAACTTTAACTTGGAATCTTTTCGGGCCAGGAAACAGTGTCAAGAAGCAAAAAAGTGTATAATAAAATACTGCCATCTGAGGACCACTAGTCAGGTGGTTTTGTTTGAGCCAGCTGATCCCAACAATTCACATCAAGTTTGGTGGGACAGTTACGGTATGAAATCTGCTGAATTTCCCCTGCCTTTTCCCCACTGGCAAACGTTTCAAAGGGATAACTGTAGATCTGGTTACACTGACTTTACGCACATCATGCAATTCACGATATGAAATTCTATCTTTGTTCGGACTTCGAGACAACCCCTAAACGAAAAGTTTATGGAAGTTGCACGTCAAGCTAAATGATCTGCATAGCTATCTGCATCCAGAGATCTCTAAACTGTATTCCATCTGCATTCAACCGGGTGACAACGAGCCATTTGCACCATAGCTGCGCGGTCTGGCCTTACCGGTACTGAGGATTGAATCTTCCTTACGTATTGATTTCACAGGACCTTCTATACTTTTCGCAGCACTGCCTCTTTTCGAGAGGTAAAGGAGGTTGGGAGATGCGAAGGAAGAATGTTGGCGGGTGTTGGTTGCATGCATGATTGTCAGCGCAGTGTCAGCACGCTTGTCAAATTTGAACCGACCTGAGACATGCCACATATCTGGATATGAACCTCCAAACAAGGCAAGGCAGTACAGTACCAGTAACTTGTATCTGGAAAATCCAACGCCTGTGGGTGAGCAAACATCGCAAGCAGGATTCAAGCAAATAAATTCCCCTTGGGGGCAGTCATTGCCCGGTACCACGAATCTCAACTTCAGAATCCCAGCTAGTGTCACCCTGGTGAAGCCAGACATTTTTCAGGTTCTGACCCCAGTATGGCCGGGAAACAAACATGGCAATAACAAAGAGTGTGTATGTCACAAGTGTAAAAAAGAAAAAGAACCGATCAATCTTCCGAAGGGACACTGTGTAAACAAATTTCCACATTCCATATTCTCGCTTTTCTTCTTTGGGATACCATTGACCACTTGTTGTCTCACCAAGACTCCTTTGTGACTGGTTCTTTCCAAGCTGCTGCTTGAAGGTAGTGAATCGTCTCTGGCCATCAATTTCACCTGTGGATTGTTCCTGCTGAGGAATTGTTTTGCTGGCAATTGTTGGCCGAGTCTTGCGCTCCTCCAAGTGACTCGCATAGTTGTCGCAATCAACTTCCCCTTCCCTCAAATGTGGGCTAGACCAGTTGGTGGAGGAGGAGAAATCCATGTTTTGGCGAACTCTGTTTTTGTTGTCTTCCTCCTGGTGATTATGTGCTGGAGGCTGAGCTGCAAAGACAGATTCTCTCATTCCATCATAGATGCGGTTCCCTCCTTCAGGTGACAACTGAGCAGCCTTATCCTCGCGCAAAAAGTAGATGTAACCAATTATGACAGATTCCACCAATCCAACAATCACCCAATAGAAGCTCCAACCAATGAATTTGTCTATCCACAGCCGTTCATTGCTAATGGGAATGGAGCCTCCAGTAGCAATTTGCTGGGCAACCACCACCAATGTCAAAGCCATGCCATAGCTGAGTCGTTCGCCCACTCGAAGGTCCAGCAAGAATGTCCCCATGCTGACATATGTAAGAATAATAGTGGGGATCTGGTGGATGAAGAATTCAGGCAAAAATAGAGAAATTAGTACCGTCACTAGCCAGTGTGGTAGTGTGTATCGGCATGCAAATTGACGTCACTTACGAGAAGATTGTTGACATAATACTTTTGAGATCTGCGGTAGAAAAGGTTGAAGTATAGCACAACCCCATCAAAGGCTGTGCCACTCTCAGAGAGTTCTGGCACGGGCAAATATTCATTGAATGTTGGCTCAAACTTCCCCTGTAGGAGGCCTGTCCCATTGAAGAGTTGGTAGCTGATGAGGCTTGGATCTCGACGAACATAGGGCCCAACAATGAACTGACAGCCTAGAACATCAAAGGGAATCTGGCTCAGGCCTGCAAACTGGCAAAAGGCAGTAATTCCACCATTGCGACTCCAATGCACCGTCCCATCACTAAAGACCAATGCTGCTGTGTCCGGTAATGTCTGCATTCCCTCCACTTGGTTGAGTAGGTCAATATCAGGCACCCAAACCTCTGTCTTTTCTCGGTCTGCCCCAGCATACATGGACACATATCCAGCACAAGTTTCGTCTTCTTGTTCCCATTTGAGGCGTTCATCTTTCCATTCCAGATAAACACTGCACAAAATCTTAGCAGTTCCACCTTGAACATCAATCTTTTCCACTGCAAACACTTCCACAGTGACTGAGACGTTTAGAGGAGTTTGAGCGCTCAAAATTGGTGGAACAGCAGGATCATAGTCCTCCAATAGTTTCTTTCGAATGTTGGACTCGCACTTGTAGAATGGCACACCGCCATCACAGCACTGCCAATAGAAGGAGCGAATGCCCTCAGACTCACACGCTTCTGCTGTCATGCTTGTTTGGGCTATGTACTCCCACTCTCCACATGTAACATTGGGAGGCAGGCCTTCACCTACAGGGTAATCTGGGACCCTGTCAGCTACAACTCTGGCATCACGACATATTGAGCACATGGTGGAATTGTACTCTTGAAGAGACCTAACTTTTCCGAAGACAAAATCGGAGGGAATGGTGATCGAAGTGGCCTGCAGTCTGCTGTTGTGCTTGTGAATGTCGGCCGACATCGCCACAACTATGCATGGCAGCAACGAAAGAGTGATGAGCAACATTGTACAGATACATGTAACGAGTTGTCACAGGCAAGTACGGTAGTAGCTTGTTGCTTTGGATATGAGCGGAAGGAAGGCGAACAACAGCAGCTCGACGACCCTGTTCGTCGTTTGTTTGGTAAAAAGTCTTCACTCGCGGTCATACAAGGGTCATCTGCTCTGGTACTTTTACCGGTACCTACTAGCTAGCTAGCTAGCTACAACTAGCTAGTACTGTACGGTACCCTAACTAGGGATGTGACGAGGATGCCAGACGACCGAGGCTGACACTCCCCCGTCATTGGAAACCTTCGGATCAACCACGTAGTGGGTGCCATTAAATTTATTTCACCTTCTTAGTTTAGCAACAGTTCTACTAGCTAGCTATGCATAGCTACTGCCTACCAGTAGCACCGGTAGGCTGCTAGCACACGGTATCCGGAGAGCTGCTTATGGGCCACACACAAAGTCGCGTGATACTGTACCATAGTTTCAAAGGGCTCAGCCACGTGAACGCTCGCTGGATTGTGACCTATTAGTGCTATCGCAAAATGCGGGGACAACTGGAGGAGGCATGACTCCTGGAGGAATGGTGAAGATAAGCGGTTGATGACCTGGAGGGATTCCACGCATACTTTCCATTTGTTGTTGAAATCGTCGCTCTTCGTGGGACTTGTGCAATGATGCTTTGTGTTCCTCCATCGCGGCTGCCTGCTGCCGAATTCTCTCTTTCATTGCCCGTTCACGCTCCAAGCTGTGATCAGCAGCCATCTTGTGGCGACGCTGGTTGTAATGCAACTTCTGACACAAACAAGCAACGGCCATCCCAATCACGCAAATGGTCAAGATAATCAACATGGCAAGGAAACTTGCTTTCTGGTTCTCAAGGTGCTCTTGTAGCTCTCGGACACTGGATTGTGTTTCAACCAGAGCTTGTTTTGCCTGCATCAACTCCAATTCCTTGGCAGATAAGAGGTCTTTGGCGGTGGACACATTGGCTAGTGCTGTCTCGAGCTTTTCTTGACCGCGAAATAGTCCACCAGCGGCAGCGGTGCCTCCCAGTCCAAGGATGGCGTTTGGAACATTCAGAACGTTCCATTTTTTGCCATGCGCATGGTCGTCGCGAAGGACCTCTTTGCCGAGGAAAAAGCTGGCCGCAGCCGTGATCAAAGTTGGCCATGGAGAACCTCTTGTACCGGTACGAAGAAGCAGCCCTGAAAGAGCTCTTTGTAGGATTCTTTGCAAACCCGCCATCGTAGCTTACGTACTGTTACCGACAATTGGCCCAGACTTCGTGGAAGCTAAACTATGAAGATTAAAATATATGCACACCATACATCATACAGTAGTGGCGTTTTGCAACGTTGAAGTTTTGATGGGAAGAGGCAGTGACACTCTGTCGGCCCTCGCTACGTGGCATTGGCGTTGTCTTGACCTCGTAGTATGTTGGATTCCACCGAATACAGTACCATACAGTACTCTTGCGCCGCTCTGCGAGCGAGCTATGCATATGCATATGCATATCTATAGATGTACTAGTAGTTGACGGGAGAAGATACACTGTGTAAAGTGCATGTTTTTAAAAATTAATTAGGTCTACAACATGCATGGCATCTAATGTTTTGTTGAGTTTTGGCGTGAATCCATGGTACCGGTGGTACCGGTACCGGTACGCGCGTCACTTTCATTCACACGAATTTTTCTTGATGCGCCTTTGTCCGCGTCAACGAACCTGCTGAAATATTGTTGTTGCAGTTGGCCACTGTGGCTTTGTGGACGAGTCGGAAAACAAAAGTCTGCAATCACCACCGTAGCTTCACACAAGCAAGCAAAAACGAGGACAATGGCTGAGCATCAGCAGCAACAAGATGGAAGAAGCGGCAGCACCCGCCCGTTTTGAGTGCTCGTTCCGTGCGTGGAAGGGATTTCGACGACGAAACGTCGTCGCCTGAGACCAGACGCCCGCGAAGATTGCTCGACGATGAAGATGATACTACGGCTTATGAACATCCAAGCGTGCTATACTTTGCTGCTCGTAACCGGAGGGGTCGTTTTTATATTCCCTTGACGGGCAACAATTTCGGTGGGATTGTGGTAGACCAATGCAGCACACTCTTGTTGCCATTTCCATTGACCGCAGGCTTTCCAGAGGCTTTCCGTACGAGCAGATACTTTTGGACGGTGTCTTCTTCTAGGGGTACTGGAGCTATTCACTCACCAGTTCTCAAAATAAAGCTCTGTCTCGGTCGAGAATTCCACCTCACCCTTCCGAACAAAGAGCAGCCTCCCCTCGAAATGTTCCGATTTCACATTGGAAGTCAAGCCGCCAACATGCTTTTGAATACGCGCCATCATCGCGCCATGCTGGATGCCAACTCTCTCACCAAACTAAACGATTTCCGCGGTGCGCTAGGTGATCGGACCTCCCCAGAACGTACGTATGCGTTGCTTGGACAGAGTTACTTTTCTCGCATCATAAATTGCTGGGTGACGTTGCTATTGCGCTATCGAAGGATTTGACGCAAGCCTCGACATCATGGCAAGATACTAGTACGAGAGAAAATTGGCTCCTTTGGTAGCAGCATTCGACGAATTTCATGACTTGAGGACGATGATGGAGACGACAATGAGAAAGAGTATCGGTTGTCCTGGGATGCATGTACTGGTTCAGAAAACGAGGTGGACGAGCCGGATGACCGCTAGCAAAAATCTAAATATGTGGATGCCCGAGTTTTGATCAGTTGTGGGTACTACTTTAGTCAGACGACCAACCACCATGTACGGCATCTAATGTTTTGTTGAGTTTTGTTTGTTCGGGATCTCTAAACTACCGCAGCAAGTAAAAGAGTGGAAACTCAACCATCGATTGATGCAAGTGTGAACATCCACGGAAAAGAAGAATTTCACCCACAACCGACAGACTAAGATTGTTGGGTTTGCTGCTCGAGTGACACTCAGATTACTTGAAAATGGAACTCAAGATACCAACCGCAACACCACCAAACGCCTCGAAAAGACCGTCCAAGTCGAGCGACTCATCCAAATGCATCTGCTGGTCCGACCCATCAGCTCTGAAGATGTAGGGCAGATCCATGATAGTTCCAGAGTGGCAACAGTCCATCTGCATACCATACAATCATTTGGTAAGAGACGAAAGCCCAAAAGAAAAAGGCACAATGACCGAGCAACCTACCAGAGCTACCATGTGAACTCCATGTTTCAAGGGTTTGACCAGAATGTCATAAAGATCGTCATCGCGTATCATTCCCTTTTCCTTGTAATCCAAGGGAACCAAGGCTTCGTCGTAGCCATCCGCTGTTTGTTAGAACAAAAATAAATAGCTTGTGGTCAGTAATAGCACCTTTGTCATGAACGATTCCACGCATTTCCGTTTCTCGGCAACGCACCTTCCTCTCCATCATCGTCGTCCCGCAGTTTCGTGCCGTGGCCAGAGTAGTGCAAAAAGACGGCATCTCCATCTCCACTCTCTGCAACAACCTTCTTGTAGGCATTGAGCATGTTTTCCATAGTGGGTTCCTCGTGTTTTCCATCGTCCATGAGGACATGAATGTTTTCTTCTTCGAAGCCGTGGACCTCCATAATGTACCTTTTCTGTCGTCAAAAACATTATCCAATAGATAACATTCATTATTAGTAAGATACGGATCGGTGTGTGTGTCATAATTGAAAGATCACTCCTGTATATCTATCTTACCATGTTGCCCACGTCGTTGTGGCACCCCCTTAGTTCGCCTGGGCTGTGTCCTACATAATTGATACCAACCATCTAAAGAAGCAAAAATGAACAGGTGATGAGTAACAAGAATCAGAGGAAAGACCCAAACTCAAGCTCCACAATACAGTACATACAACGGCACGCTTCGTTCCAGTGGCCGTTTTGGGGACCAAATCAAAGTCCGTATTGACATCGATGGGACCGGACGCCGTCAGCTGAGGAATCTGGGAGAATCCACTCTTCTTGAGGTTTTCACGCATCGCGGTCAAGACTTCGGTAAAGCTCAAGTCATCCTCGGGGACTTTCTCGTCCTTGTAGAGGATACTGAGAAGGGTGGATGTGCAGGCACCGCCGGCACGACCGGCTGGGTCCGGTAGCTTGAATGCCCCCACGTTGGACACATCGGCGGATGTCTGGGCGTCTTCACATCCTGAAATCATACGAATGTCATTCTTCATAGCATCCGCTTTGTGGGAGAGTAATAAGAAAGATGGACGGACATTAGATTAGCAAGTATGTGTGTTCTTTGAAAAACTATATAATAGACCGGCCATCCCAAAACTCACGCTTCTTCTCCTCAAACATTGCTTGAGCATCTCTCGGATTAGAGATCTTTCGCTCCACCTTGGAGATTAGCTTCTTGAAGAAACGGCCCATGGTTGCTTTGCTTTTCTTTCTTTCTTGAAGAGGATTGTGAGAAATGGCAGTGGTGTGCTGTGTGTGAAATGACCCCGGCTAGTACATGTAGCTACCGGTGGCCGGAAGCTGTGTAGCGCGATGCAAAAGATTCTTTGAAAGATCCAAGAACGATCCACAAGATCTCCCCCTAATTTAGTCCCTGATTGCAGTCCCGTAAAGAGAAACACCCCGTACATGTAAAGAGGCAGGTCTCGCCCACTCAGGTTTTGACGTGGATACCGTAGGTCTTGGCAGGACTGGAATCGAATCAAATCAAAGGATTTTTAAAAAAAATGAAGCTGGCACAAAATAAAGAAGGAAACCAAGAAAACAAACCAAAAGCAACCACGCACTCACGAAAGATGGTCAAAATTCACAACACCAAACAGCAAGCTCAACAGCAGCAAGAGAACAAACTTACAGGGACACCACAGACACACAAAGACATCGCTCCCAGGAAAAAGGCGACCGGATTGGCCGCCCTGCATGGGATGGAGTGCATAATCCAGGCTTTCTTTGTGCTGCCTCTATCTCTATAGATTTGCTAGAATTCTAAGTGCTACCCAAAAAATTGTATAGCAAATCACTAACCTGTCATACAATACTATTTGATAGTTGTGGCTTGTACAAACAATCAGCTAGGGCACATCTGGCGTGTCTGATACCTCTGAGCGTTGGCGAGCAATCAATGCATACTTTTTCCAATCGCTCGTAACACACACATATCCATAAAGCAATGCCAACACGGTGTATCCAATCGCCATGCCAGTGTACAATCCGAAAAGGTCTTCTCGCCAGTAGGTTGTCAGCAGATAGACACCAGGAACTTGTGCACCCCAGCTCGCAACCAACCCCATCCAAAACACCTCCTTGGTTCTTCCCATGCTGTAAGGGATTCGTTCAATGGCAACACTGAAATTCATCATGAACAGGGTGACACAGAAAGGAACCCTGGTAGACTCAAAGATATCCAAAAACTCTTCATCGTGCGTGAAAATTTTCCCAAACATTCGCGTTTTGAAGTATACACCAATAATAATGACAAGAAGAACCGCAAACGAAAGGCCAATGCCAACCTCGCCTGCTTGCTTGGCCCCATTTGGGTCCATATCTCCAAGCCTCTGGCTCATTTTGATCCCAGCGGCGCTGCTTAGGGCAGTCACCAAGACAAGACAAATCCACATGACACGGTACGATGTGTTGAAAACAGCCACCTGGAGTTCTCCGAGATCAGCAGCAATGGCACCAACTACGGCAACACGCCAAAAGTCAGATGCCATCCCAAATGCAGCAGGGAAGTACTGTTGTGGAAATAATGATAGAGGTTGGATCAGATGAGACGGCGACAATGAGTGCTGCAAGCAGCACACATGAAAACCAAGTCACTCCATATATATGCATTGGAAAAGTGAACATACCAAGTCTGAAAACGTCTTGATACGTTCCCAGGTTATTTCCTTGAAGCTCCAACCGCCCCAGCAAGGTTCGTGCAACTTTTGAATGAGGATGTAGACCACATAGAAAATGATAATCTGGATGTAAACGACAGTGGTCGTAACAGTCGGGCATGCCGGGAACCCATAACCTCCATAATCGGGAAAGGGCCATCCCAACACAAAGATCAATCCTAGAGCAAGGTTTAGAAACAAAGCCGCCAAGCTAGCATTGACTGAAGAAGAATAGAACAAGTAGTAGGAGAGAGGAGCCACATGTGTCTGTGTTGAGTTCACATGATCAAGGATAGACTCATTGGGAAAGGCCGCTGCCAGAGCACTTACCTTCAGGATACATGATGCGCTGAGCCTGGAAGAACTGAGACAATTGGGAGAAGATCAGTTGCCCTGGAATGGATAATGCCAATACTTTTGCATAGAATCCTGCCATCTCTGCAATTTCAGGATCGGATCCAAAGGCCTTCCAGACAACGCCCGTAAGACACCAGCAGATGAAGACGACAATGCACAAACCAGCCAAAACAAAGTAGGACACCTGCAAGTAGATTCCGGCCAGTTTTGGATTGTTGGCACCGACAGCAGCTCCGCACAAGACACTCAAAATTCGTCCTTGGATGAGCACTCCTGTGCACATGGTCCACAAATCCGACAGAGCAGCGGCAGCGAGGGCATCCGCACTGACGTGCCCAAGGAGTGCCGTGTCTGTTGTTTTCATCTATAGAGAAGAAAGAACAAAGATCATCAGAGACAGGATATCGCAGAAAATCCCTCTACAAGACAGCATCTCAAAAATTACAGTACTTACTCCAACCCAACTCAACATGGCAGCAAAGATCGGACCAGCGAGGTAGATGGTGTCATGGATATCCTTTTGGAGTGGAGGATGTTCACACTTGAACTCGGGCTCCTGCTCTCCACCTACATGTACAATCTTGCCATATTCCGACTTGGCGAGAAGGCTGGTTTCTTCGGTGGGTGCCATGGCTGTGCTCTGCGTCCTCTTGCTGATGACAACTACTGGTGGTACCTATTGTCCACTTTGTGTGCACGGTGAGGTCTCTTTCATTGATGTCTTCGTCCCCGGAGGCCGAAGCTTCAAGATATCGCACTGCACTTCGATGATGTTCTCGGAGAGGAGGTTTGGCTTTTCCGAAAGAAAGATCCATTTTTTATCCTCTTCCCTAACCTGCCCAAACCCTTGCCGCCGTCGTTCGTTCCCTGCGCCTGTACTCCAGTACCGGTACTACCTATTTTAAAATAGACTAGTAACTGATGAGAACCGTTCCACCCCACCACCACGATCCGAAGGCGAAAAAGCAACCGCAGTGCCACAACAAAGACCTTCAAACGACGACGATGAAGATGCTCTTTGCCACTCTTGTGTTTTTGCTGGGTTTGTCTGTGTCGACACCAGTACCACAGCGCATAGGACCACCAAAGAATGCTCCTTCCAGACAGATGATACAGCGCCGAATACGAGAATTGCGATCGTCTTCAATCACGATACCCTCCGATTTTTTCTTTGGGAAGGCCCGGTCGCTTCAAGAGTACCAATACAATTCATCCATGTGTTCAATCTGCAAAGGCGCCAGAATCCTTACTTCCAAGGTTCCTGGTTATGATGCCGATGACGACCTGCCTCCCAATATTACGTGTGGAGAGTGGGAGTATTTTGCGCAAGCTACCCAAACTGTGGAAGAATGCGATGCCACTACTCGCTTTTTCTATTGGCAGTGCTGTGTTGGAGGGGTGCCAGTGTATCAATGCGAATCCAATATTCGACAGAAGATACTGCAAAATTATGATCCCGCTGTCCCCCCTATTGTAAGCCCTGAGTCACCCTTGGATGTAACGGTTACATTGGAACCCCATGCTGTCGAAAAAATTGATGTGCAGGCTGGAACCGCCAAGATTTTGTGCAGTCTTCATCTTGTGTGGAAGGATGAACGCCTAAAGTGGGACCTAGAGGAGGACACTTGTGCTGGCTATGTTTCCTTGTGGTCTGGATCAGATAGAGAAAAGACAGAGATTTGGGTACCAGATATTGACCTCTACAATCAAGTACAGGGTGTCCAAACATTTCCAGACACATCAGCACTGGTCTATAATGATGGGTCAGTGATTTGGAATCGTCTTGGTGGGATCACTGCTTTCTGCCAATTCTCTGGTCTGAGCCAGATTCCTTTTGATGTTCTGGGTTGCCAGTTCATTGTTGGGCCTTGGGTGCGACAAGATCCAAGCCAAATCAAATACCACCTTTTCAATGGGACAGGCCTTGTCCAGGGGAAGTTTCAAGCAACATTCAATGAATATTTGCCTGTTCCAGAGTTATCTGAGAGTGGTATTGCCTTTGAGGACACTATCCTGTACTTCAATCTATACTACAAAAGATCTCAGAAATATTATGTCAACAATCTTCTGGTAAGAAGCATCAGCTCTGAATTGTATCTGTCGTTGCCATTGTGTCCTCATTTTTCAACGATAAATCTTCTCAACTCTGCTACTCCACTAAAGGTCCCAACAATTATTCTTACATACGTAAGCATGGGGACATTCTTGCTGGACCTTCGAGTGGGCGAACGACTCAGCTATGGCATGGCTTTGACATTGGTGGTGGTTGCCCAGCAAATTGCTACTGGAGGCACCATACCCATTAGCAATGAACGGCTATGGATAGACAAATTCATTGGTTGGAGCTTCTATTGGGTGATTGTGGGATTGGTGGAATCTGTCATAATTGGTTACATCTACTTTTTGCGCGAGGATAAGGCTGCTCAGTTGTCACCTGGAGGTGGGAACCGCATCTATGATGGAATGCAAGCATCTGTATATGCAGCTCAGCCTGGCAGCAAGTCTGGAGAAGAAGAAGATCATGATAGAGACAAGGATGCTCCTTTTCACAATCCCTCAAAACGTGGCAACTATTCCAGTAATGAACAAGTCACTGATGTGGTTGATTGCGACAACTCTGCCAGTTACTTGGACATGCTAAAGGCCAGGCCGACCCAGCATACACAATCGATTAGTGCCGATAATGGCCCAGGACAATTTACTACTTTGAAGCAGCAGCTGCAAAGGAGCAGCTCTGTTGAGGAAACGGATTTGCCAGCTGTGGGACCAGGTCAACAAACTATAGTTGGAGCCTGGAAATGGGTGTACACTATTTCCCTACGGAAGATTGATCGGTTCTTCTTCTTTTTTACACTGGTGACTTATACACTCTTTGTTATTGCCATGTTTATTTCGAGGCCCTACTGGGGAAGAAATTTGGAGAATGTTTGGCTCAATGAGAGTGCCACAAGCTGGGATAAGGAATAGCTCTCTGAGAAGTTGACCAGATAGAGAGTTTTCATTCAAGTTTTTGCAACTTTTATGTGGCTGCCATGGTGCTGCTGCAGTCGTAGTTCCTGCGTGAAGGTCTTCTGTCACTTGTCAATCCATGCACTTGACTCCTTCACTGGCAGTGCAATTGTTCAGTTCACACAACGCAAGGTATCGTGCATTCAAAACGCCGCTTCAAACATTCATTTCTGGCTTTTGCCAAATCATGGCAGTACTGGCTGGCTACGGTAAGCATGGGCTGGAGATCCCATCGTTTGGATTGCGTACGTACCTGCTGTGGTACCGGTACCATCCTTTAAAAAGAATCTCCCCAAAGGACGAAGAGTGCTCAACTTTAAGGGAACTCATTGCTGTTCTGCGACCCTAAATTCCCGTATGATCGCGGGGATTTCTAAATAGTAGGGTAGGTATCCGCAATTCCAGTACGACGACAAGTCCGCGACCTCGTTCGCAAGTGTGTTTGGATGTTCAGTGTCCGATTCAGTCGCCTCGCACTCGACTGAGTCACTCGACTCAACTGTCACTCTGCTTCCATCAAGCTACATGTGGCCATGCAGTCTTCAGGTAGGTTCAAGAGTCAAAAGAGGCAGGCCAGACCATCCAACAACGAAAACGACACCACCCGCACAAGGCAACAACTCAACTCGGACAGACCACCCGAGCTCCCATAGCTTGGCATAGAATGGCATAAGCACAAAGGTCTTGACGGTCAAGAACAAGCACAACAATGTCTCTAGAGGCGGACAGCGGATTGCCAAGTGAGGACATCTCAAGTCTCACGGACGCTCAGGAGAAGGCGCTCTACATTATCGTCATCGTTTCCTCACTTTTGAGTCTTTGGGGAAGTTCCAACATTATCTACATGGTCCTTTCGTCGAGAAAGAGAAGTCCCTATCGCAGAATATTACTGGGCCTCAGCTGCTGTGATCTCGTGAGCAGTGTCGCGCTTGCTCTTCAAGGATTTCTCTTGCCCAGCGAGACTTCTCAAAGAGTGTGGGCTTTCGGGAATGACGCAAGTTGTAGTGCTCTGGGATTCTTCCAGCAGTTTGCCTTTAGCAATACTTGGTACAATGGATCTCTCAGTTTGTACTTCCTTCTCACAGTTCGATTTGGTGTCAAGGAACAGCAACTTGCTAGAAGGGTCGAGCCATTCATGCACATTCTTTCCATTGGATACCCCCTCGTCACTGCTACTATTGGTGCAGCGATGGGTGTCTACAACGAGTTTTTGATTGGGATGGGTTGTTGGGTATACGACTATCCGCACGGCTGCGGCTGCAATCCTGGCGAAGATGCAGTGTGCTGTGAATCGATTGTCATCGGCTGGGGTTTTGCGGGCATCCCCACCTTGATTATCTCTATTGTCATCTTGACCAGCAATATCATGGTTTATCTTCATGTTAGGCATACCATCCGACGGAGCAGGGCCTATCTACATTCCTCCGTTGGCGCATCAGCTGGCAATCAACTCAATCAGCAACAGAGCAAGAGAATTAAGGCAGTGGCAACCCAAGCTTTCTTGTACGTCGTATCGTTCTTCCTCTGTTTTTTACCATCAGTTCTGTTACGATCATTCGAAATGAGACATTTCCATGCAGAAGACGAAGATACCCTGTATCCTTTGCTGGTAGTTGTGTCCATCACCCTCCCGCTCCAAGGCTTCCTGAATGTTCTGATTTATGCGAGGCCATCCTATCTTTTGGCCCGAAAGGATTTCCCGGACCAATCTAGGTTTTGGGCATTTCGACGCGCCCTCCATGGGGACAAGGTGCAACCAAGGAACGACGTTTCTCACTGGCACGCATCAATCAGTAATGTTGTTTCGAGAAGCATGGGGAGTACAATAAAGAACACGGAGGTTGACCAGCGCAGATCCCGGCTGATTGCGGAACCTCAAGAAAGCAAGCAGAGTACGCTGGAAGCCTCCGGTGATTCTGCCAAGCCGGACAGTTCTGCCCAGTTTCGCCAAAAGGGCGATCTGTCAGGAGAAGAGAAACAGGCATCAGGCAAAATGAGTCCTTCGTTCACCACTGGAGACGCCGGATGCGCTACCTTTCCCGGGGGCTCTGCTATTGAGACTAGTAATGAGTATGGAGGTGACGAAGGAGAAGCAGTCAACGGGACCAGTGATATACGAGAAAACGGACTGGATGTAAACGACACCAGTTCTCCCGCAGCGGGGGAAGATACTGCAGCACGGCAAAGTTATGATGGCTCAACGACAGACTCTACATGGAAGAATGAAAAGTGACCATCGACTAAGAACCACAGAGAGAAAAGAAGCGTGACTTGTGGTGATTCAAACAATCAACTTGCACTTAGCTCCGCCGATTTGGGCTGCCAACCATCATTGGCCCGCAATGATCCTTGTTTTGCGTCAAATCAGCTTCAAGACTTATTGTGGGAAGCGTTCTCCCGCAGCTTCTTCCGCCATAAGCGACTTTTTCTGCGGCGTTCATCAGCATGAAGGACCAGCGTTGCGCAGCCACGAGACCGACCACCCCACATGATGCACTGGTACGGCTACTGTAGGGATGAGCCCTACCGTAGGCGCCGACATCCTTGGAACAAGCCAAATACAGTACCGTTTTGCCACCTAAGGTGGGCCACTTGTTTGATAACTTTCCTTCTTGCTTTTTGACTCGCCAGAACGTAGATATCATGCTGAAACGTAGTCCTGTAAACAACGACAGTTCCATTTGATCAACACCTCGCTTCAATCAGCGCTGACAAACCTCAACACACGTACACGTACTCCCTCGCAAATGCTGTTTTGCAATCAAACAGGGCACTTTGTTCAAGTCAACGCACGTACTGGTAGCGGAGTAATGCCTCCAGCCATGGCTCACACAAACTCCAACGCATCGTCCCTCGCACAGCTCCCCAGTCTTTCCCGTTGAACCCGCTGCCAAACCCCGAATTTCGCCTTCTCTAAGCTTGCACCTACCACCACCGCCACCAGCTTTCATCTATTACTCTTTTTTCCAATACTCTCCTAGCTGCTACCGGTAGCTATTAGCCAGAGAAACCGGCCCATACCAGAACCTGTGTCTGGTACCGTACCATGGTGGTACCAGTACCGGTACCGGTACCGTTAGAGAAGATAGATTAGGCATAATGAATCGAACGGAATCAGTCGAATATTCATTCGAATAGATCCAAATCGGCTAATGGTTCCGCGTTGAGGCAAGATGACCCAAGCCGTTTCCCACCAGAGAACAGGAGCTCTTGTTGTTGAAGTCAATGTGTCGATGTGTCCTCATTTTATCTCTTCCTTCTTCATTAAAACAACTCATGCGAGATGTCCTATCGGAATCGTCAACGTTCAGATGGGTCCCAAAAGCAGTTGATCTCCGACGGGGGATATTCCACTTTTGACTCTGGCAGCTACCAGCGCGACGACCTCTTGGGTGCCCCCAAACAATCTTCCACCGACGACAACACCATGTCGTCGGAAGAGCAAGCGCCGCCTCCACAACCACAGGCTACTTTTCAAGAGTATCCTCGCCATGTTATCATGCGTATTCCGAATACCGCCTTTGGCATTTCTATGGGTCTTGCGGGTAACGCCATTTTATGGAAGTCCGTGGGAAAGAGTGCCATCTTCAACGCGGCAAACGCCAACACAGAAGCTCTCCATGGCATTCTGTGGCTACTGGCTCTACTGGTCGCTGCTTGGGTGTTCACATGCTATTGCTACAAATGCTACTATCATTATGAACTGGTTGTACGGGAGTGGCAGCACCCCGTTCGGGTTCATTTCATGAATGCACCTCATTTGATCATGCTCATGTTGGCCATTGGCCTCCCTGATCGCTTCAATGCATCCGAAATGGCCCTCCAGATTGTTTTCGGGCTGGGTCTGGTGTTCAGACACTGATTACACAGTTTGTCTACGCGAAATGGTTGTTCAACCCCAACAGTAACATCACGAGCGCCAAGCCTCCTTTCTTGCTCAGTACAGTTGGTTGGTTCCTGCTGGCCAATTTTGGAATTGGGACAAACATTGAAGCGACGTGGGGTTTGGCTATTCCTCAATTCTGTTTTGGGATTGGCGCCGTGTTTTATCTATTAGTAGCCATTGCCGTCATGAATGGATTGCATTCCAGTACCAAGCCAATGAAAGGGTCGCCTTCCTTGACTCTGCTCTTGGCTCCTCCCTCTGTTGGCATCGTGGCTTTGGATACCTTCGACGGGGATCCCACAAAATTCAACAACGCTGCAGCCATGGTCTTGGGCTGGATTTTGGTACTCTTCATGCTATTTGCTAGGATCGGACCTGCGTTTGTGAGAGAACCGGGTGTTTTGGGGGAATACTGGGCGTACGTATTTCCCTTGGCGGCAGTCGCCACGGCTTGGATTCGATATGCCTCCGTGGTCAACACTACCGCGGCGACGATTGTGGCTGCCGCTTTCATGAGCGTCGCCATTGTTGCGCTGGTCTCTGTGCTGGCAAGGATGACAATACACTGTTTTCAATGCTTTCGAGGCCAGGCTCAATGGGGCGATCCCCTCTTGGGGGTACCTTCACAATTGAGCCGCCCCGAGCCTACGGCGACAAGGCCGCAGCGGTTTCAGGACAACGTAATCTAAATTCCGCATGCTTCTCTTTGTTGGTAGTAAACGGGGGACTAGCTGGCTACATGAGCTAGCTACATGAGGTGCAACAGCAAATTTGTTTCATTTTTCTCTATAGAATTCTTCACCATTCTCTATTGGTATACATGCACATTTTTTCCTTTCTGGGATGTCCTCCACGAGTGACCTCTGTGTTGCCCTCCGCATTCATCACCCTTGCACTCTTGCCAGTGCCAAAAAAGTCACTCTTGACGACTCGCTTAGAGAGCCAAGGCTGCTCCGGCAATGGCCCCAAAGGCAGCAAGGGAGGCCATGGCAGTGTCTGCAGAGGATCCTGCACCGTGGTGCTTCTCAACGGCAAATGGCTGGGGCTGGACATCAACTGTTTCAGTCACCTCACTCTGAAGCTTGCGGTGACCATCCACAATCTGGATATTCTTGCGCAAACGACGGCCACCGGTGGCAGTTCCTCCAAGCTCCAAGAGAATGCTTCCAACTCCAGTCAAGGTCAAGGCTTCAAAATCATAAAAGTCAGCAAACAACAAGAACGAAACCAAACAGACATTGTTATCATTTCCTTCATCAACACACTTCTTGGTGGAGAAGATGGTGGAGGCAGGTTGAGATTCCGTGATGATGAGCTGAGAGGGCTCTGCAGCTTCAGCATTCTTGACAGTGAACTCCATGATATCCTTGACTTGGAACTGTCCTGTTTCAACCCTGAAGCAGACGTTGAGGGTACTTCCTTGAGTGGTGACAGCATCAGAACCATCATTGGTAAGAATGGTGTAGGTATCAGGGTCACAGAAGTATGCCAAGAGAGATCCATCAAAGCTGAGATTGGTGTCCTCAGCATCAGTAAAGTCCTCGGCTTGAGTGACAGTGTAACCAGTCAACTCAGGAACTTGGGTAACCAGATTAACATTGTAGGTAAGAAGGACTTCTGCATAGTCAATGAGGGTATCAGCATCATACAGTCCAACCTCAACACAGAACTCCACAATGGCATTGACAGCATCACCAGCATCCCTGTAGATCAGATTGTTTCCAGCAATTCCTTCAATGAATCGAAAGTCCACAGCATTGTCTGCACCGGGGTTGTTGATAATACCACCATGATCAACTTCAATTCCAGTTACATTGGTTGTGGGAAACCAGTGGCCCACAGCCTGGCGGTTAGCTGTATCCTTGCGGCACAAGTCAGTGACCTTAATCTTGATATTGGCACTAGCAGCACCATTACCGGTTCCAGTCTCAAAGGTGAATCCTTGGTCTTGAAGGGTTTTAATAGTGACATGCCAGTCGGTGATCTGGAGGTCACGTCCAGAGTCTTCAGCAGCCATGGCCAAGGCTGGGATGAGGAACAGCAAGAGATTGGTGATAAACTTCATTGTTTCGTCGATCCTGTTTGAGTGTTTGATTGTTTGATTGTGAGTTGGTCTTCGTAAGAGAGGAAATCAATATTGTGAGCTCTTCAAAGATTTTGCTCGAGCTGCGGTTTTGGAGCCAACCTTGGGTCATAGATTTGTTTTCTACCGCCTCTACGAAAGGGTCCATTCCATTCCATCCATCTTTCGCGAAATAAGTTGGCATTCGGCTCACACTGGCTAGGGCGTTCTCAACCTATTGCGGTGAGCATTGTTTTTACAGTCACCTTTCGACGTGTGCTGTGTCACCTTTACTTGGGCGTACAGCACGGGGAGTTTCTTTTCTCTTGCTTTGGGCCTAAGTCTGGGCGATTTTGCTGGAACCAAGTTCACTAGCCCACTTAAAAGGAGCCTGCCCACTGGTGATAAAATAAATCTTGACTTGGCCTTCGTTCAATTTAGAAGCACGATAAATGATGACCTTTCACTGGAAGAAAGTGATCGCTGGAAGCTCACTGGAGGACCCCTCCAATCATTGACTTTGTCGTCTTGGCGATGGTACCTTTTAAAAATGGTTTCCACGAAATCTCCAGTGATGCAGCAACCCAACAGAAAAGACTGGCCGTTGGTGATGTACGATGTAGCTACGATGTTTCGATTGCATTGACTCGACTCCAGCTAGACTCGGATAGTCCACTACGATGTGGCAACCCAACGAAAGAAGAGCCACAAACCAATCAAAAGCTTTCCGCACGTGGAGAAACTGTTCCGCAAGGATCCATTCTGCTACAGTAACGAAAAGCCCGGTTCGCTTGGCATTTCGTACCAGTAGCTACGGAACTGGTGCCAAGCAACTTGTCATCTACGAGCTCATCTATTAATACGTACATTTTTGTACCCAATACTACAAGTGTTGGTGGCCGTAGTGTGCCGCCATTGGCTCGTAGACAGAATTGTACGAACCCCACGCTTCATCAGTCTCCAGTGATGGACATTGCTGGTACCCTTCATGCCGAAGACGAAGTCACTAGACTGGCTTCATCTCCGGTGAGCGAAAGTGTGTGTAGGGGGGTACGGCGACGCCACACAGGTGACCGGTCATCATTACTCGACCTCATAGGGTATTGGCACTTGCTCTGCTGCCCAACGAAGTGATGGGCAAGATCTTTTGTTTTGCTTGTTGGCTGTTTCTTCAGCTCACAATCCAAACCTTGAGCAATACAAAATCCACTTGCCAACAACAAAATTGACTACTACTACCGTACAAACACTTGCAATCAAAACTCTCAACATGAAGTTCTTCTCCAATCTTTTGATTCTTGCTGCTCCCCTCTTGGCTACTGCCAGTGAAACTGATGCCCATAACCGTGCTCTCGAGATTGGTGACTGGAGCGTCAACTTCAAAACAATTGATGGACAGGACTTTACCTATGAAACTGGTCCTGGTGCTGGTGAAAATGTGAATGTGAAGATTTCTGTTGAAAACAAATGTCGCCAGGAAGCTGTCGCTGCAGAGCGCACCAATGTTGGTCACTTCTATCCCAACCCAGATGTTTCTGGCATTGCTGTGGACACCTCAGGAATTGTCAATGCCCCTGGTATGGGCATCAATGGCTTCTCCTTCTCCTTCGTTGAAGGAGTCAATGAAAATGGGCTCATCTACTCAGAAGCTGATGATGGTCTCAATGCTGCTGTCAACTTCTGTGTTGTGCTTGGACTTTACTCTGACATTATGTTGATTGACTTTGCTGAGGTCAAGCTAACCTACCTGATTGATTTGGTGACCCAAGTTCCTACGTTGACTGGTTACACTGTCACTCAAGCCGAGGCCTTTACTGATGCTGAGGACACCAATCTCAGCTTTGATGGATCTCTCTTGGCATACTTCTGTGACCCTGATACCTACACCATTCTTACCAATGATGGTTCTGATGCTGTCACCACTCAAGGAAGTACCCTCAATGTCTGCTTCAGGGTTGAAACAGGACAGTTCCAAGTCAAGGATATCATGGAGTTCACTGTCAAGAATGCTGAAGCTGCAGAGCCCTCTCAGCTCATCATCACGGAATCTCAACCTGCCTCCACCATCTTCTCCACCAAGAAGTGTGTTGATGAAGGAAATGATAACAATGTCTGTTTGGTTTCGTTCTTGTTGTTTGCTGACTTTTATGATTTTGAAGCCTTGACCTTGACTGGAGTTGGAAGCATTCTCTTGGAGCTTGGAGGAACTGCCACCGGTGGCCGTCGTTTGCGCAAGAATATCCAGATTGTGGATGGTCACCGCAAGCTTCAGAGTGAGGTGACTGAAACAGTTGATGTCCAGCCCCAGCCATTTGCCGTTGAGAAGCACCACCTTGCAGGATCCTCGGCCAACTCTGCCCTGGCCTCCCTTGCTACTGTTGGAGCCATTGCTGGAGCTGCCTTGGCTCTCTAAGCAGTGCTACCAGTCATTAGCTGATGTCTTGGGAACTCCGGTGCGAGTGCAAGGATGACGGATGATCATGGAGGACAACTCTGAAAGAAAATGTGCGTGTATACCAATAGAGAATTGAAAGTATTCTATAGAGAAAATTGAAACAAACATGTCGTTGCCCTTTCCTACTAGATCTAGCCAGCAGCTCGTATTTAGATACCGGTAGCTAGAGTAGCAGCTCTGATGCATAGCGTCGTTGGTGCGTAGAAGGGATACTGACTGTCACACACCACCGACGAGCCACGTGTATCCTTAAAACGATGCCGATGATCAGGGAGTCTCGTCGCTGTTCGCTTTGTCCATTGGGGTTTCATCCAGTCGATTGAATGCTTGGCTATCTTTTGGACTGTCTCGGAGAGTGGCTTCGGAGAAGCCAATCCCACCACAGCCATTGGATTTTGTGGTTCAGAAGCAAGCAATGATCCAACCGGATCGAATCTAGTAGCAAGTCCCTTCACCCAATGCCACTTTCGGTTTGGTTTGATGTGCGGAATGATATTGGTTGGTTCTACGATGATGTACCGGGACTTCTGATGTAGGAGCCACAATACTCCGCAGCCACATGCAAGCAAGACACGAAGAAGTTAGCTCCAGCTGGCTGTTGCGAAGTAACGTGCATGTGCAACTCCAGCTACTGGTACCCGGCAGCCAACACCCAGAAGAGCTGAATATCATTCTGGGCTTTTTTAATAAGACGCCCCTTTGGGGACCAAGCCGTTACTCCGTAGAACACTTGGTTCGTTAGCTAACGAATGTAACAATGCGGGTTCCAAGGAGAGCTTTGGGATTCCTCGACTCCCATGGGAGTTTGCACCTCGACCTTCGTCCAGTGGCCGTTTGACTTATTCGACTCCCCACAGGCTTCGCATTTGCCAGTCCCTCTTCGCTTTTCCCAAGAGTGGACAAACTGGAGCCAATGGGATCAATCCGCACAACCCAAGCTCTGCCCAATCTTGAGAGCTTTGAAAAAGCATTCTGTTGTTGGCAACCTTTTCACCCTCCCTGCCGTTTGCTCGGTAATCCGTATTTTCAAGTAACACATCGATCTGCTCGATCCACTCATGCACACCCACACGCAACGAGAACCCATTGCAGTGGAAGAAGACCCCGAGAGAGTAAGTGCACAACAAGCCGAAAGTAGACTAGCATAGCTACTAGCATAGAGAGAGATTGACAACCAAGAGAAAGTACAAACTGACTTCTCCGTTGCCAAAACCCAAAGAAAACAGACAACGCAACTTCGACACAACCAAATACTACACAATGGTGGCGATGGATCCAGAACACTTTTTTCCTTCCAACCGTCATGAACAGTACCACGAGCATCATGATCACTACGAGTATTCGATCCCCATCACACCGTCGCAACCACAGAGTCCCCAACCACGTCGTTTGCTAACGTCCACGGCCACTCCCATCCATCATGGCGAGACACTGCCTCTGATGCACAATGCCTTTCGCAACTACGGACTGTTGATTACCTTGGACGACGATCAGTTGTGTCTGCAGTTCTGTCCCGATCATAGTCTGGGTCAAGTGCATCCCAATGCGTATGCGCCGACCGAAATTAGCCACATTCAAAAATTGGGAGGAGGTGGTAGTGGAGTGGCTGTCTTTGAAGGACAACATCCCGTCTTGGGTGACGTCGTCATGAAGCACGGGAGTGACAAGGATTTGGTAGAGCTCTTTGCGCTCAGTACCGTGGCCGATGAACTCAAGACAAGAGGCCATGGCGACAAGGACAACCAAGCGGCAGCCAGACATATTCAACAGCGGATACCTGAATTCAAGTTTATTTACATTTCTCCACATCACTTGGGAGAGAATCGAAAAGCACTGTGGAGGAGATTGCGAGATTTGGACCGTGGCAGCAGCGGCAGCTTTTTGCTGCCCGTGGATGAAATGACAGAGCTGAGCAGTAACAGTGAAGAAGAATCCGATAGTCATTCCAAGACGACCAAGATGACGTCCTCGGAGCGGTCTCGGGTCAGTTTTCTCGACGAGGAGACCATGCTAGAGGAGGACGACTATGAAGATGGTACTTCGGCGGCAGAAGCCAACTTTCAACTGCTCAAAAAGGTCAGCAGCTTGCAATCCGTCGTGAGCAAAGACAAACCCAATCCAGAATTATTTCCGCCAGGGGTCGAAATTACCAAATCTGGAACGGTCTCTGGTCACAGAGACATTGCCATTTTGGTAGCACCCCGGGGAACCACGGATCAGTGCTTTGTCAAATTAAAGGCGGACACGCTCCGGATTGTTCTCCCAGCAGGAAAGTTTGATCAGGAAGAACCCAGTCAAAGCAACAACAGCGGTCACACCGGAAGGATTCGAATTCACGGCGATGGCTATACTGTACTCAAAGCCATTACCGATGATCTCATCACGTTGATGAAGTCCAACCGGTGGAAATTCACTTTTGGGCAAAAGCGAATTGGTAGCGCCAACCCCAAGACAGGCAACGAATGGCTCTATGAAGCTCGACTGTGTGGAAGTGTGCTGAACAATCTCGTCACGCAAAAGATCAAGTTGGTGTGGGATCTCGTGCGATTGACTGCGGACAACGAACAGGATCCCAAGGTTTTGGAGCAGATTCGGGAGGAAGTACAACAAATGAAAGAATGCAAACACCTGGAGGCGGAAGATTTATCCGATCTAGTCGACAATTATGTGGGAAACGCCATCAAAAAGAACTTTCGATCCGAAACCGGTCGCATCCCCGTCTTGCTGTTGCTGGGAACACGATTCCGCGAATACAGCGAGTACTGGACACAGTCCTTCTTGCACATTGGTGGCGGGAATAAACGTCATAATCGACAGCAATCGCCGTTTGCGCAATCCAGCGGTGCCAACATGATCCTGACGACTGAAGAGAAAGTACCCGCACATTACTTGGGATGCATCACCAATCCAGGTGCACTCGTGGGTGACTTCTTTCAAAAGGCACCAATGGTACCGACCGTGTTGGAAAACATGGGATCCGGTTACTGGCAATGTCTTCTCTCCAAGGCAGTCGAGCTTCCCGATCAAAACTGCCATTCGTCGATGTATTGGAAAAGACTTTGGACCAGCGGTTTGGCCGATGCCGGTCTTCACAATCTCTTCGTCACGGAAGATCGGCTGTGGCTCTTTGACCTGGGAGAGCCGACGCTAACATCCGTACCTGGATTCTTGACAAAATTCCTGTTTAGCTTCTTCCATACGCTGGTAAGTTGTCGTGAAAGTGGCGAAAGAAGTGCGTGATGGCCCCGTTGATGATTTCGCTCACTTGTTGTTGTTGTTCTCTTGCTTATCGTTGTACAGGGAATGCAGGAGAGAAATGACGGTGCTGACAATGGAGGCATGTGGATACGAAGGTTTGAACTGAATCATCGAACCAAGAAGTTGAATCTCACAACAGAAACAAATCGATTGCTAGCAAAAGGTTACAAAGCGTTCCAGCTGTCCTTGGACCGGATCGTAAAAGAAGTATTCAACGGAGACGACACTGTTCGATGGCTCTTGCTCCAGTATGTGACTCTGCAGCTTATCTCCGATGCATCGTTCTGCTTGCAAAAGTGGACTGTAAAGGTGAGTTGACTCTACCCTACCAGAGTGTGCCGTTTGTTTCTTCTACTACCGGTAGTATGTTCTAACTCGCGTTTTCTCTCTGCTTAACCGTAGGGAGGAGGTCGTGCCCGTGACATGAATCATCAAGAAGGGCTCGAAAAATGGCTGTGGAGGGCGCTTTGGGATATTTTTGTGGCGTGCGACATTAACAGTCCGGCCTCCTTGAAACGATTCAAGGCGACGACACCTGAGCCACACATGTCCGATGCCCAACGAGTTTTCCAAGAACGTCATGTAGCCCTGATACAAGGTTTGGCGTTCGAAAACGTAACAATAGGCGGCGGAGACGGGTTCAAAGGCTTTCACCCATTTGTGAATGCAAGTGGATGAGCGAATGGTAGAACTCGGCCTCATCAGCAAAGTTAGGATGAAACCCTTATACTCAATCAACAAGAGAACTAGCAGCTCTACTAGTCCCCTTTCAATATTCTTAACATTCATAAAGCTAGATACACAAAGCCTCTGCTCTCATCATAGAAATGGTGTTGCCAGTTTCGTTTGGTTTGGCACATTGCTTGCACGGTACCCGTAGAGCGGTTGTGATGCACATCCCGTGGTATAATCGAATCGAATCGTTGCGCCAGATGGAACTCTTATCTACGTGCATAGTGCACAGTCCTCGTTCCGTGTACGAGATGTGTGGCACAGGTAGTCTAGCTGGTGTCGCCTTCAAAAAGCTTTACGATCAATTTATCTTATCGGACTTTCGGTAAACGCCGCTACAGCTTCTGCCTACCGTCCTGTGCAATCCAAAACACAAGCTAGGCTCGCGATCGATCAAAGTCCTAACTATTGCCAAAACGGGCTGAATGGACTGACCAGTGCGTTCCTGCTTCGTCCTCTTCCATTGGATCGACGGTTTAGAGGACCGCTGCTGTAGCTGGAGGATTTGGGTGGTTGATCCAACTTTTCTCGTGTGGTCAATTGCACTCGGATGGTTTCCACGCGACGGGGATTGCACTTTCTCCAAACAACCAACTCCACAACGTCTCCGTCCTGCTTTTCTTCAATGGCACTAATCAAGTCTTCGGTGCACTTGACGGGGTTTCCATCAATGCGAGAAATCAAATCACCCAACTCAATGCTACCATCTGCGTCTCGTCGTGTTGCTTCCAAACCAGCCACAACGGCAGGACTGTTGGGCACGATTTCAGCAATCAGAACCCCGTCTAGACCACGCCCGTATTGTTTCTCCAGAGCTTTGACGACGCCGTCGTTTACAACGGTGATACCCAGAGTGGGACGAACTGTCTTGCCATAGCGGATGATCTGATTCACAACCCGTGTGACCGTGTCGACGGGGATAGCGAATCCAATGCCAATGTTACCAGCCATGCCGCCAGGACTGAAAATTGCTGTGTTGACGCCAATCAATCGGCCTCGACTGTCTAGCAGTGGTCCGCCCGAGTTTCCAGGGTTGATGCTCGCTGTGAATGATTGTTCAGAACATTAGGTTTGGAAGAAAGCAAAGTGAACGACTCAAATCTTTCAAACAAAAGCCAATCCTTCCATCCACGGCCCCAGACAACTAAAATGCTACTTACCATCCGTTTGAATACATCCTCGAATTGGTCGGCCTCCTACTCCATCCAGATCACGCCCCAGTGCACTGACCACTCCAGTGGTCAATGTATCATCCAGACCATAAGGATTCCCAATGGCCAAGACACTCTGTCCCACCTGCAGGTCGCTGGAAGTACCCACATCAATCGGATCGGGCAGATTGTACGTGTCCTTGACCCGCAGTACGGCAAGGTCTTTTTCTGGCTCGGCTCCCACCACTTCGGCTTCCATGGCTCGCGCCATGCCACTGAGTTTGACCGTGACGCGAGAGGGCATGCCGCCACCTCCTCGTCCGGCTACAACGCTGAATGGTTTGTAAAAAGCAAGGACAAGCGGGGCAATGACACAAGCAAGTGAGACAGACAATTCATAAGGACATGGCATGCCTAGCTTCTTCCAGTCTTACTGATAATTGGTGACGACATGACCCTGGTTGTCCCAGAGAAATCCAGATCCAGTTCCCGCCGGAATCTCCAATCCTCGGATGGCCAATCCCTTTCTGGCAAACGCTTTGGATGTGGTTTGGACGTAGGCCACACTGGGAGATGCCTTTTTGAAGGTCTGAATGATTCCTCGTTCATGGGCGGTCAAGGGATCGACGGGGGGCGAGACGGTGCGAAAAGCTGGGCTGCTTTCCTGGAGTCGTTGAATCAACTCATACTTTTCCAAGCAATCTCGAAAATCAATGCCTCGTTCACCAAGCAACCGTTTGAGTTCAGAGACGGATAGATTATTGAACGCGCTGTTACTGTTCTCATTGAAATCGTCCGGGCGCATTTGATAGAAGGACGAAGAAGAAGTGATTGGAGTGGATTTGGATGCCACTAAGGGAGAAGGAACAAAAGAACATCCTGGGGTGACCAGCAACCAGAATAGAACGGAGTGCTTCATGGTCGTAGCTTTCAAGTTGAACAATTTGTAGTGATCGTGCGGCAGCTGAAAAGGCTAGGGGGCGCCAGTACTAGTAGCAGACTCTCTGTTTCTTTTTGTGTCTTCTTCAGATAGATGATGGCGCAAGGCCAAGGCAGAACATGGAGGATGAAAATGGAATAAATGTGTGAGCAAAGCAATCTACGTAGGATGCTACGTAATGGTACAAAAGTCCAAGTTGGCACCTGTTTCTTGGAGAATGATGACGTGGATTGGCTCTTTTTGATTGGATCAATGGATCACTAGTGGTATGTCAGGATATTTTTGCCACGTTTCAGTTCTTGGAAGGTTCTCACGCGACGCGATCACTTTTTTCTCAATGACGGTCAATGCAGGGACGTCACTCAACGAAGAGCACCCTCATCATATCTGATGTACGAGTACTAGTAGTATGCTGATGGCTCATTCTCTCGAGCGGTTGCTGTTGCCGGAACCAAGATATTACTACGGTATCCACCCCTGTTGCCTGCAGCTGGCATCTGGTACAGTCGGTTGGTTATCTGCTACCGGTAGCAAAACAGAAACGAGCCTGTTATAGGAGAAGGCATCAGATTCTCCATAACTTTGTTTTCTTCATCTAGTTTGAGGGCAGCTTCCCCCTTTAAGGAGATCCACCTCAACCCTGAGATATCATCGCTTGCAACAGATAATTCAATCTTTGGAAAGATGATGAATCGACTCCCCACCGCAGGATTCGGTCTGGCCCGCCGATGCCCGACATCAAGACTGTCTCCCTTCAGATCCTCAACCGCCATTCGGACCGTTTTTGACAATTATTACGACGAACGATTGTGGCTGCAGTCGGATGAAGCCAATCTGCGACCCGTCCATGTTCCCAGCAAACCAGGATCCAAAGCCTTTGTCTCGTCGATTGAAGGTTCGGCTGTGGTGGATTTGTTCTTTCAATATGCCACCAAGAGAGACACGGGCAAAACTGGTGGTCAAGCACAACAACCCAGTTTGGATCTGGAAGGAGTCCATAATTTGTTGGAGGGAATTGGGGAATCTCATGATGATCATACCGTCAAACGACTCTTTGCCGAAGCCGATTTGGATAACTCTGGTTGTGTCGATTTGCAAGAATTTTTGTTTGCAGCCGACAAAATTTTGGGAAGTGCTCCCGCTCGCATTGTGCTCATTGTGGGTGGACCAGGCTCTGGAAAAGGATTATTGTCGCAGCGATTGGAAAAGGAGGCTGGTTTGGTCCATTTGAGTTCCGGTGATCTGCTGCGTTGTGAAGTCAAACGAGGGACTGTCCTGGGAAAACAGGTCAAGGAAATCATGGCACGAGGTGAATTGGTGTCCAGTGAAATTATCGTCACCCTCATGAGACGGAGAATGAGAGATCATCCAGGAAACAGAGTGTTGTTAGATGGATTTCCAAGGTGAGTACTACCAATGAATATTGGAGAAGACGAGAGAATGGACAATTACAATTGAAAACCAGCAGAGTGATGGCACAAACATTCATTCTCCTCACCGACCGATACCTGCTCTGCTCATTATACTATTCATACACAACAACAATGAAAGGTCCATGGAGAATGCATTGGATTTGGTAAAATTATGTGGCAAGCCCGAACTCGCACTGCATCTAGAATGTGACGATACTATTCTAATGGAGAGAATCATGGCGCGGGCAGCCAAAGCAGCCGAGTCGGAAGGCAGACGTGCCGACGACAACTTTCATACAGCACTGCAACGGCTACGGAACTACCACAAATATCATGATTCGACCATCCAATTTCTTAGAGAACAGCATGTTCCCATTGTGGAATTGGATTGCAGTGTCAAGCCCGATTTAGGTACGTACACTGATGAACCGAAAGAGATATTGCGACTCTCATTTTGGAAACACACGCAGCGCTCAATTCACGCGAATGATTCGTTCCTTAGTGTGGGAACAGTTGCTTGCAATTGGGCGAATGATGCGTCCGGCGGTACAGTTACCAAAGGAAGTAGAGGAGACTGCTGCAGTTGCGCAAGAAGATTTACCTTGGACAGGTACAAGGTAAATTGACGGGTGGAGGATTAACCCAACAACCTTGTAGAACTTTGCAGCAAACGAAAACAGTCAGGGATCTGCAGTTAGATTTTGTTCGAAGATTTGACTGATTTTGACACCAAACCAATTATAAGTCTAACTTCATACATGATGTAACGATTACTGTGTAGCTGAATCAGAGCTCTTGCACTATTTGAAGGCATAAATTCAGTTGTTGCCTGTCTTATGATGGGCTAGCTACAGTAGGGGGCGTGGGGTCTGTGCGGTTCCTCCTGGCTAGAAGTAGTCAGTAGTCAGACAAGGAGAGGGTACTGATTTTTGTTTGAGTACCGTTTGGTAGCACAAACTGTTGCGTTAATTTTAGAGCACAAGAACAATCAGTCATCTGATGGGCAACCAATATCACGGGCCCACTGCCGTACTTCTGCGTGGTCGTTCATTCAGCATTGGAGCAAGTCCATTCATCCCATGGGCAACCATTCTCATTGCGACGGGATACAGCTTACAATTCAGCTTTACAGCTTTACAATTAGCAGGCTTATTCTAGAAAATAATCAATAACTGCTCACTTATTTGGAAATACAAACTTTACATCTCTTAGATCCTTAGACTAGTCAATGCACAATGGTATTGTCGCATGGTAGCATGCGAGGTTATGAGATGTTACTCATTCTTATTCTTATATGTCTATCCCTTGTTATCATCAGTGGTAACCTCTTTTCTCGACTGGATTCGCTCGCAGGCAATCCCCTTGTCGATCCCCTGGATTCGCTCGAAAGCAATCTCTCTGTTCTTATTGACGATCGTAATCTCAATGAGGATCCTATCTTGGATTCGCTCGAAAAGCAATCCCCTTGATTCGCTCGTAAGCATATTAAACGATGGACTCCTATGGGAGTCCACCTTTTGCGATCAACCGAGCGCTAAAGAAGCCGCTACTAATACTGTTACGGCTACTACTACTATTGCTTCTACTGCTACTACTGTTATCCCTATCACCGGCGAAGCCTCGGCCATGCTCAGCTTCAGCATGGATCGATCGATCGGCCGAGTTAACAGAGGTCGCGATCGTCGAGTTAACAAAACTCGTCGAAAAATGAGTTTCGACTGCATATATAAGGCTCGGCCTGTGTGTCTGCCTTGAGTCATGCTTCGGGAAGGCTGAGCCATGCTTGCCTTATATCTTCGAAGCAAACTCCTCACTTTTTCATTTCGAAATATCGAACGTACGTGAAGAACAACAGCCCGGAGCGATCGATGGCTCGTGTTGTTGTGGTTGTTGTTGGTCGATCGGCAGTTGGTCTCTGCTTACCCAGGACCGGCATTGGTCGTTTGACTGGTTGCAGTTGTTGTTATTCAAAGAAGATTCAAACGACGAAACTCGCTTGTCGACGCGAAGATAACAGCTCGACCGATTCGCCGAACTGTTGGAAAGCTCATAAATTCCATCTTCGATTGACTCGATTGACTGGATATCCGCCGCTCTCCTTGTCCTGTTGCCATTGCTCTTGTTTTCAACTTCGATGACTGGATTTCGATTGACGGATTTCCACCGCCTGCTCTTTTGCCGCTCCTGTTGCCGCTCTCCTATTGTTCCATTGCCATTGCCCTCTGTTGATTCTCACTTGATGGACCTTGACGACGCTTCCTCTGCCTCAGCATCTTCATCTTCAACAACAGCAGCGCCAGCACCAGCATTCTTGTT